TTAAAGTTTTATGGATACACTCTCTAGTTGTGAATGCAGACAGAATTACCTCTTTCTAGCTCTTCAAAATTCCGCTTTTTTTCTTTGTCAGTGGGCTCAAACATTCCTTATGGTCAAGTATCTGGAATAACTGAATGACTTTGGAGTGTTCCAGATCTTAGGTGCCACAATAAAACTAAGTGCTATTCTAACTTAACTCTGTGGTTTAGTTTTAAAAATCCTGTTTAGAAGCATATCCCATTTAGTTTGTTAATCTTTAGCAAATAAACTAATGGCATAAGGAATGGAATTTACGAAAGCCGAGAGCAGTTTTCCTTTGCCTACTCGAGATAATGACATAACTATCTCGTTATCACGGTTAAACAATTTATTGATTTCTTGAGATAACGAGATGGTTAACCTGTATGAGTACTGAATGAGGCTGGCCAACAGCCCTGGATTCCAAGTCCATCCATGCCTACGGTGCCTCTAGTTGTGCATTTAGGTCGTGGTGGATGATTGGATTGCATGGAATACAGTAGAAACAAATATGACTCTTTTTTTAATGAAAATCTTTAATCTGGACTCATTTTGGGGGTTATTTGATTTTATACCTGGTTTAGGCGTAACACCGGGGCTGTTCAGAAGACACTCGGGTCTAAAGCGTCGGAGGCATAGGTCTAATTGCTCAAGAATCAGAGGATGTAATCAGTTTAACCACACACATCATCTCGTTATCACGAGAAAGCGGCTTTCGAGAAAAATAAGAACAATTATTTGTTTTCTCATGAAAACCACAGTGAAAAGGTATCTGAGGGAGACAACAGTTCTCAGCTTCCGTAGTAATTAGTTGTGAACGGTGTAAAAGTAAATCTGAGACTCTAAAACTATAATTTAAAAAATATATTTTATCTCACTCAATCCCAAATAGCTTCATTTTAAAGTCACTATGGATTATGTGAATGAATGATTTTATTTCTTACTCTGCAGGCCGTATGTCTATGCAGTCCACTCAGAGCAGCCGGATACCTTTGGTCACCGTCTCGGACCACTTAGTAGCGAGGTTTGTATATAACCTGAAAGACATTTTTTTTTCAAAAAGTGTCTCTGTATAGAATTGTTTAATATGTTTTTAAATGTTTTGATGATGTTTCTGGCCTTTAGCTGGACAACCCTCTGAGGGAAGTCGACAACATCATTGGTCAGCTTATGAATGGACTCAAACAGATGAATCTACACCGATGTGTCAACGTCATCATTGTAGGGGATCATGGTACTTCAGACTTCCATCTGATAGAGCACTAAGTCACACCTGTGGTAAACAGATGCACCTGAACACCAAAGGGCGGGGTGCCTCTGGACCAAAGAACCAAACTGGTGTTCGTATGACCAATAGCTTTTTGGATTGCTATTGAACCTCGGGTCTTATGCTACGTTCACACCGCAAGCGGCAGGAGCAGCAAAAACGCGCGTGCTGCTTCATTTTTTATGCTTGTAGAAGTTAAGTTCTGACGCGCAGTTGAAGAATCTTTGCTGCCCTAGCTGCACCGTCGAAAAGTGGGTCTGATGCGCATTGGGCAGAGCTACCATTTACTTACTTCGCCTGTAACAATGGCAGTTATATTTGCTGTTATAAAAGGGTAAAACATAGTTTTAATATGCTTTTAAGTGAAAAAACTCCACCTATAAACTTCATCTCTGCAGTCAGTTCATCCAGATTACCATCCTGCCTTCAAATATTATTCCGCTGACGGAGCCGCTCAGACCCCCATTGTTACTAGGAATTACGTTCAACAGCAGCCTCTGGCCCGGTCGCCTCTTTGTGGTTTTCCACTACCGTTCGCCGCAGCTGGAAGTAGATATTAAAATCCAGGATAATAAAATATATAACATATTTTGACGACAGATTTGCCGACAGATTACGACATTTTGAGTTAATTAAGCTGTAATAAACTGTTTCAGATTGATCATAGCTATCTGCATCAGTAGTGCTGTGTCTGTCTCCCTGCTAGCTCCCAAATCAGCTTCTCTGATTGGTTGATGTGGCGTGCGAGCAGCAGAAGTTCAATTTGTCCAACTCCAGCAGCTGCTGCTTCTGAAACTCATTGGGCGCGTCAGATGCCCAGAAGCTCATGATGCGCTGCTTCAGCTACTGAGACGTACTGCTCCTGCCGCTCCAAACGCTCTGTAGGTCCTTTTGCTGCTCCAAGATGTGCGTCAACCATTGACTTTGCATGTAAACTAGCTGTTTCTGCTACCTGTCCTGCTTGCGGTGTGAACGTATCATGAAACTGTCCAGGGCAAAGAGCCATATTGCTTAATTTCAAAGTTTCCACAAGTCAGAGTGAAATTGTCATTAGGTCAAAGATTTAACATTTATTTAAAAATGCTTGACTTCATTGTTTTCAATCTCAATAGCCAAAAACATTTTCTCTATGTGTTGTATTTTATACATAACTAGGGCAGATTTATATGTAACACAGGTTGCATAAATGTGACATTATTTTCTGTCAGGTATGGATGAAGCCCACTGTGACAGGACAGAGTTCCTCAGCAGCTACCCTCTAAATCTAGATGAAATCATCCTCATCCCTGGTGCCATTGGTAGAATACGTCCCCGTGACCCCAAATCAGCCACATGTAAGAGAAGAGTGATCGGAAAAAACTGTATGATATGAAATAGTTTCAAAATAAAAACAATCTTCATCATTCTTAATTTTCTTTTTTTTTTTTTACAGATGACCCAAAGGTTGTGGTTGGAAACCTTACTGTAAGTACATAATGGAGTAGTGATTGTCTTAAGTTTGTGCATTTGTTCATCTTTAGGAAAACACAACATGATCCAGATTTTAACCTGCAGAATTTCTGTCTTAGTGTAAAATGCCTGCTCAGCACTTTAAACCATACCTGAAGCAGCATTTACCCAAGAGGCTTCACTACGCCAACAACCGCAGGATCGAGGATGTCCAGCTGGTGATGGAGAGAAAATGGCACATTGCTAAGTAACCAGAGACAAAGTTATACTGCGATGTAGGGAGATAATAAAGCACGAAAGCTTGAGGATTTATGCTCCAGATTTAAAATGTTGATTAATGGATTCTACGAGATGTAGATCCCATCTGCCTTAATCAGAATCTTATATTTTAAGTGAGCAAATAATAAATCATGTTGTGTTTTAAGTCAAATAAATTATTTTGGCTTATATGGCAACGATTTTCAGTAGCAAAAACAAAAATGTTTTTCAGAAAAATGCCAGAAAAACCCAGAACTCCATGCTTTTTCTTCGGTGACCATGGCTTCGACAACAAGTATACAAGCATGAGGGTAAAGAACCTTTGCCTTGTTGTTGGTTCATGTTTTAACCTGTGGCTTCATTTAAAAATGTTTGACCAATTGAAGAATTTTGACCACTGGAAGAAATTAAGCTACACATTAAAAGAGATCCAGATGAGGAGAGGTTTTTTGCCTTGTAAAGATTGACCATGGAAATGCATGTATGCCTTTGTCAGATCTCAGATAAAACAGCAGATCTAAGAAAAAGATTTGTTAAACATATTTATCTCTTTTTAATGTTTGGTTTGAGAATTAGACCTGAACTTGAACTTCTTCCTATTTGTAGACTATTTTTGTCGGCCATGGACCAAGCTTCAAATTTCAGAAAAGTGTTCCAGAGTTCGACAACATAGAGTTATACAACGTCATGTGTGGTAAGAAATAATCTCCCTTAAAAGAAAAGCTTTGAGCCTAGAATTATTGAAATTCACAATTCTTTAAATTTTTGTTTTGCTAAGTGTCAGAACACCCTGTGAGGAGGAATCAAAGCTAAACAGTCCCTCTCAGATTTTTGCTGCAGATGTTTATGGAATATAAAACAGCAAAAACAAATAGTTTATTTCTGATTATGTTTAATGTGTAAAACTAAAGAAAACGTGACGCCATGTTGGTAAATATCACAATTTTTTAAATATAAAATCCTTCCTTATTAATTCACAGCAAATTACTCAGTGTTTATTCCTGTTTCTCTCCTACACATGGGCTTAGCTTTTACTGTGTCAAACTGTATGTGCTTTCTCTCATCCCTTTTGATATCAAAACCAGCTCAAAGTTCATCTTCTTAACTGTGGCCTTCCATGACTAAGCCACCTTTGGGGCTAGTTTATCTTTCCTAACATAGAATGTATTCCTGGATCAGTACTTATGTTGCTTTTTTATAGGGCAAGACTATGAAATTATTATACAAATTATCATACAACTTTTTCTTTTAAGATGACCAACATACCAACTTAAAATACATCAAAAGAAGAGAGACTTTGAATAAATGAACAAGTTTATGAAAAGTAAAGACTATCACCATAGTGCAAATATACTTATGTCGTGACACTAGAGATAATGAAATTTAATGAAACTCCTGAGTAAAATATTTACAAGCCACTGCAATGTTTTTCAAATAAAATGTATTCATGTATTCATTTCAAATATTGACTGGTCTGATAAAATAAAAGAAAAAATAAAACACACATAAACTTACTTTAGTTTATAAAATATAACATTGAACACTAGAATAATATAATCCAAACTCTAGATCAAAATCTGTCATAGAGCTGCAAATGTAGTTCAAGATATTATCTGTGCAATCTATGATGAAACAATAAATAATCGTTATACAAGGAGTCAAGTCAAGTCAAGTCAGCTTTTATTGTCATTTTCTACATATGTACAAGACATACAAGGGAAATGAAATTACGTTTACTCTCTGCAATATACAAATATACAAGAAATATACAAGACTGACATTTAAAAACTGACATAAAGTGCGGGACATGACAGGTAAGAGTGGTAAGATAAATATAAGTATGAAATATAAACATTACAATAAAAAGCAATAAAAACAGCAGCAATAGTTTGTTCCAGGCTGAGGTAGTGCAGGTAAGGTGCAGCTTTAACTGGTGCAAATGTAATGCGCCAAACATTAACTTGTTCAGTAATGCTGATGAAATAGGCTCACAAAGTTGCCTAATAAAAAGTAACAGATGTGACAAAGTAATGTAAATGCACAAAGCTATACAAACTGTTTCTGCTACAGGAAGACTATAGAGGTAGACTCGAATTATACTGAAAGCACTTCCGATATTTCACTAATAATGTAAGCAAAATTAATTATTGTTACATCCAAAAGAAAAACTAGAGTAAGACCATCATAGGGTTTTTGGCAGAAAGACGAGTTTGTCCAATTTGTCTGGTTGAAGGGTTGCTCTTTGGCATGTGACAATATTTGCCCCAGTGCTAAACACTGGCTCAGAGGGAGAACTTGTTGCAGGCATGCAAAGATATTTCTGAACAAGTTGACTCAATTTTGTAAAATTGACGTCATAAGCCTACGTACGCTTACACTGCATGCAAATTCCACAGCTGGAGCAAAGGATTCCCATGTTATCTCTATGTGGAAGGGCGGATCTTGGAGCCAACTATTGCCTCTTCCTGCTGGCACCCTTTCCTGGATGTGCCGCTCCGCTCTGCCTTTCTTTCCCGCTCTAGTGCACTGACTCCCCTACTCACTCTCTCGAGTGGTACCTTAGTTCCAGAGGGTGAAACAGCTGGCAGCCTGGTCTTTGTTCTGTTTTTTTTCATTTTCACCAGGTTCACGTTGAGCTGGATGCCGATTTTTCTGTCAGATGAGCATACCAGGTCAAACCAGCATACCCATAGTCAATACCTGTTTATCCCTTTAGTTTTGCACGAAAAATAGACTTAAAACTATTTAATTACTTACTTTCTGGTGTTTATTGAAGGGCATGGCGAATTGACCTTAAATTGTTTTGTTTCTTTGTACATGACTAAAGGGACACACGCCCGTCAAGGTAGATTAAAGTCTATTTTTCATACAAAACTAAAGGGGTAAACGCAAATCTGACGTCTTGCGCATGCGTACTGACTATAAGTACCGTATGCTGGTATGACGGGGTATACTGATCTGACTGAACACCGGTCACTTCTGAGTATCCAAAAAAATCCCTCTTGAATATGGCGCTAAGATTGTTTGCCCGGTTGCACCCATTTAACATTGAAGTCACAACTTAAGAGCGTGGGAAATTCCAACCTAAAGTAAGTCAATGTAAATGCACTAGACGCTTATAGATCGATCAGCGTTGAACGAATGAGGTTACGGTCTGCTCATCAAATGATGTTTTAGTCATAAAGGGAAACATTAAAAACATAGGTATAAAGAATTTTTTAATATATTTTTCCGTAACAACTTACATAATTACTCTTTAAGGCAACTATTGGCATTTTAAGATTTTTGCAGTGTCAGACGTGTAGTTTGGAAGATGTTCTTATATTGTCATATTCCCCACCTCTACTTTTGTCTGTCTGCTTCTGTACTCTTAAAACCCATCCTCTAAGCCTGATTCTGCGGGAGGTTTTTCCTGTTAAACGGAGTTTTTCCTCACCACTGTGGCTACATGCATGCTCTATGTTATGAGTTTTGTAGAATTATTTACACAATGCAAGTAAATACTACTGTTGTTACGTGCTCATGTAGGAGGAGCAAACTCTTAAGTCATGACTGTGTACCATGAACTGGGTTTCATTAGATTACTTTATAATAGTAGATACTGTTACTAGATAATCTGTTAGTATGTCCCTCCTAAGTGTCTTTAGATGCCATATGTTGTGATATGGTAATATAGAGATTAAACTGATTTTATTTAAATTGAAGACTCTTCTTGAAGAAACCTGCTTCCCCAAACATTATCATCTAGTGGATTTTTTTAGGCAATTTTACCGATTTTCTTTACTTTTTATTGTCTCTCACATCAGACTTGTTAGGGTTGAAGCCGGCTCCTAACAATGGAACACACGGCAGCTTGAACGACTTGCTGAAGAATCCACCATTCCAGCCCACCGTGCCAGAGGAAGTCACGCCTCCGTCACCAGCTTCTGACTCTGACATGGTGACTCATGATCTGGGCTGCAACTGTGAGGATGAGGTAATAGGAGGGTATCAAGGGCAATAACTAAATAGATAGATAAATAAATAAACTAAATGAACTTTTGAAACAAGTTTTTATATTCTTTCTCTTCCGTTCCTCCCCCAGAACAGGGTGGAGATCATTGAAACTTTTACTCCTGCACCAGATGGGGTATACAGCTACAGTGAGTTCCTTAACTGATGTCAATCTGAAGTATAAGAGCTATCCAAGCACATCTTGTAGAAAAGCAGTGATTAAGATGTCATGACTAAGCAAGTTAACATAAATTAAAATGGAGAGTTTCTATGACCAAGAAGAGTAAAAATCTAAAAAGCTAAGAACTTTAAAAAAGTTCCTATTAATCCTTCTACTTGTGACAAGACTGCACATACATATAATTTCTTTTGTAAACTTTCCTCATGTCATTTATGAACACAGAGTACAACAATAAAAATAGATCAAATTAACCATGAACTTTTCTCTATGAAGCTAAACCTCAATTACTTTAAAAACACAATTTGGTTATAACTCTGTTTCATAATTGCAACTTTATTTATTACCTATTATTATTATTATTATTATTTATTACTTTTTATCTTCATGAAATAAATTTTAGTCAAATTATAAAACATGACGTAGGGAAAAGAAAACATGTAGAAAAGGTGAGTAACCTGTTCAGACCGCGATTTCTTGCACAATATTTGGGGATTCGTTTCACAACCTTTAAACTGCACATCTGCAAAATTCTCTCCAGGTTTACAGGAGGTTGCAAAGTTGTGGGGTGTCTTTGCATTGGTAAATAGTAAAGGTCAAGGTGACTGAGACATAAAACAAAAAGCAGTTCCCGACTTTATAATACAATCAATAAAAGACAGCATGCATAAATATTTACTGGTTAATGAGTTACTGCAATCCTTCAGGACATGAGATCCAGGGACATGGCTTAGATTGATCAGATACTCAATTCTATATTTTTATCTTTTTTTTTTTAAACTATTTTCATCTACATTTTTTCAGTTTTCAAAGATTCAAGGCAAACATAAGAAATATCAGAAATTGTTTATTAAAGTAATTAAGAAAAAAAAATGTAAGTAATATGTAAGACAAACTTCATGTAACTTTATGTTTATATGTTTGCAGACAGAACCCATCTTCCCTTTGGACGCCCAGCAGTGATGTTCACCACCTGGTACAGTCTACTACATCATGTGGAGTTCATCAGTGGATACAGTAAAGAATTGGCCATGCCGTTATGGACCTCATACACTCTGCCCCAGCAGGTACACACACGAACTCCATAACAGTAGGCGGGGCTCATAAAAATATTTGCAACCTTCGAAATGTGTGCAGATGGAAGCTAATAATATATGTTCTGATTAGTTTAAAAAAACGGAAGGATTTAAAATGAAAATACTGGGTGACTATAATTTATCTTTAGGAGCTATCAGATAGAAAGATGTAAGGAAACCATTCAAAATGCCAATTACTGCCCACTTGCCCTCAGTAGTGATTAATTCTATATAGAAGACGAGTAAAACATGAACTTCATCAGAGAAAAGTCACTGTAAAATAGGCTTTATCAACATTTCATGGCACGCGATGATTAAAGAGTTCAGTAATTTGCCTAACTGTGCTAGTTTGTGTCTCCTAGATAATGAAATGCTCTTGAAAGATCACAGAGGTTTAAAGCTTTGAAGAATTAAATAAAGACATTTTACGATGCTCCATTTAACCTTCCTATTACATGCATTCTCCTGCTCTCACACATCAATGATCAGCTGATTAGTTTTCAGAAGGCATTTTTAAAAACATCTCATATTGCTGTGTTTCCATTTTCATCGTTTACAAAAACCTCATTTATGTTGAAAATACATACAGAACATCTATAGCACATCTTGGTGATTAGTTAAGATAAGATGTTTTTTTTTTTTTTATAGGAAAATAATTGGATTTTTCAGTTTCTAGCCTGTCATTCCCAAACTAGTCCAGAACATATTTTATTCAGCATTTCATGTTACGTCAAGACCCCAAACCACTTTCTTTTGCCTAGAAAACAAGATAATAATATATCTAAATCAATAGTTAGCTCCTCTTTATTAAAATGTTAACTCAATATAAACAACAGAAGTCAGATTTATTATCTGCCATTTTCGTTGAGGTAACATTAATATTATAGTTTTTTTAATATAACATACAATAAACTACAATCAAATACAGTAACTACGATTATTTTTGCTAAGTTTCTTCTGTCGTTATGATCTTTCCACTATTCTTTGCTCTCTGTGTCTCAGATGTCAGATTCAAGCATCAGTAAATGCTACAGTAAATCCAATATGGCAAATATAGCAATCCCTTTAAACATTAAAACTAAGGAGTCATTGGTAATTGTATAATGCAAAAAAAGGTATTACTTTGCGAATAACCTTATCTTAATTTTGTATTGAGGCAGTTAAGATCAAAGAACTAACATAAACAGTATGTGTAGATAATTTTCAGGTCAACTATTTTTCCAAATGTCAAAAATAGAAAAGCTGTTCCTAATTTAAGTTAAAATAATGCATCAGCAATAAATTCTCTTTCATCTTTAGTGAGATACATATAGTTTAAACATTTTTTAACACCAGTAACAAATAGGAATAAAGTCTTTATGGGGACTTTATGGGGTGGGTTAATTATTTTTAAAAATTGAAAGAAGGATCTTCTCTTGTATAATATTCTAAAAAGCAGAAAGTATCACTTAAGCCAGGGAAGGCTATGTTCTCTGCAAGGAAATAACTGAAATCAAATAACATGGTTAAGACAACATTATGGGCAGCTTCTGACTTTCAGCCTTTACTTTACTCACCCTGGGTGATTAAAAACACAACCGGGGGGTGCTAATTACACATTGCATAACAGTTTTTCCTGGCTTACATCATGTTTAGGTCACGGCATAACACGTTTGGAGCATTAAGGCTTTAAACATAAACTTAAACAGAAGTTGAAAAACAAAGAGAGTCTGTCTCTGAAGGTGTGAACTCATATTCCCTGATGTTTAAGGACAGTTTTTTCAGGTTTACAAGAAACCTACTCACTAATTAGCTTTAGTAAATTGCACACTTTAAAACATGGATTCTTTGAAAAGGACTGACGGCTTGCATGAGTGTGAAGCCAGAAATAACAGCATTGCTTTTTCAATGCCCATTTCTGCATGAAATATAATATATTTTACATCAGTATTTTATTTTGGAGATTTCCTTTTTTTTTTCTATTGCTCCCACTGTTTTATATTTGTCTCTCACACATGGATGGATTTTTTAATTTTTATTTTTTAAAGGAGGATCCGGCTCCCGTTCCAGAAGTTTCACCCTCTAATAACTGTGTCAGGGTTGACCCAAGAGTGTCTTCAGCTCACAGCCAGAGCTGCACAGGCTATAACCACAACAGCCACCTCACCTATGGCTTCCTCTTTCCCCCGGGTAAAACTGCATACCGGATGAAGCATACTCTGTAGCATACTCTGTAAACTTTTTTTTATTTATTTAAAAAGGAACAATGCATGGTTTAAATGTCCATTTAAGCAGCACTTTCATTACTGTTTTTATGTCAACAGATTTTGCAACATCTTCTGAATCCAGATATGATGCTTCACTCATCACCAACACTGTCCCTATGTACCCTGCTTTTAAAAGTAAGTAATGCCCTTTTTACGCCACAGTTTTATAAAGTTGTGTTTCTATGAGCCATTTATTTAATTGTAGTAAGAACTTAAATGTGGTAAGGCTTGACTTGTGATATATTTGGTATTTCAAATGAATTCCAGTTTGAAAAAAGCATCACTACAAAAGCTCTGTGATGAAATGAACCCATATCTACAGTCAGACCATCCATTTAAGCTTAAAATAGCACTGAATTCTGACAATGATTAATTAATCATTAACACCTTAAAGTCCCAGCACTAATCATCCATACATCCATTTTTTCATCATGCTTATCCCAAGCGGGGTCACAAGGGATGCTGGTGCCTATCTCAAGTTGTCAATGGCCAAGAGACAAACAACCATTCACAACAATTTGGAGAAGCCAATTAACCTAACACTTATATTTTTTGACTGTGGGAGGAAGCCGGAGTACCCAGAGAGAATCCCACACATGCTCACGGAGAACATGCAAACTCCATGCAGAAAGACTCCAAGTCGGGAATCGAACCCAGATCCTTCTTGCTACAAAGCAGCAGTGCTACCCACTGTGCCACTGAGCAAAGTAAACATTTTGCAAATGTGAATTTTTACATGGACTTTCACTTTGACAATGTGCCTTTGTGGAATAGTACTAAGATCACTCTTTTTTTTAAACCAGCAGTTTTTGACTAAAATTAAAGCAGGAGACTTTAGGGAAGCACCACATGCTCATCTGTGTTGTTGTGTTGGCTTGTTTCTCTTCTAGAGGCCCTGGGTGTCTTGTTTGGGAACAGTTTAAAAGTAAGGGCATTTTAAATGAACATCTGGTGGCCATTCCCTGAACATGAGAACAAGTCTTCTTTGTATTTTTCAGCAGAATAGAGATGCAATTTTATCTCATTCCCCAAAGCTAGGGCTTAAATAAAACCAGAAAAAAGAGGTTTAAGGGATATTGTGCCAGAACTCTGGATGGTTCAAAGATTGTAGATTGAGGAATGGCTGAAAATTCATTGTTTGATTTTCCAAGCCTGTAAAATGTTGTCAAGGAGGATAATACTGTACACCACAAGTCAAAATAAACTAAGTAAACATAGAAAAAAAGGTTTAAAAATATCTATTTATTAGGGCTCTAGCCAACAGGTTGACCAAAATTCAGCTGAGTCAACGCACCTCTGGACAACTCTAAAGTTGCCTCCTCGGCCCGACCTGCATGCCAGCGTGCTCACTCTATGCAAACCTGGTGTCTTATTGGCTTATTCTATGGGCTTAGTATAGCACACTACAAAAAAAGCTGGATTAGACTGCCCTAATATTACCAGCGCAGTCTCCACAAACATATTATTCATTGTATTACTTTTATATAAATGGGCAGATATCGTAAGTTTTACTTCTTCCTGCTCCCTTCAAATAATGATCTGGCTACATGAATGTGTTAGAAATTAATGAGTTATGTTTTATTGAATTGAATAAATAGACTGAACTAAATAGTTTAGTTTACAGTTTCACCACCTACTTTAAGTGTTGCGCACTGATGAGAGTTGCTTCTCGAGGCTTTTTTGTCTCCCCTGAGCCTTGGTTCCTGCATAACCTAACAGGACACCAACTCATAATAGAGCCTCTTTCTCTGATTGGTTGTTGTCGAGCAGCAAAATTTCAGATTTTCTGACTCTAGTGTCGGCTGCTTCTGAAGGGTGTGACGCGCCTTATAGTAGCAGCTGTTCAAAATGGCCCTTCCCAGTAAAACAGCAGCCGAATGGCAGCCCACTTCCCTGCAACTCAAAGCAAAATCACCTCCAACTTCCAGCCACTGGAGTGACCCCCTCCTTCTCCTGGGCCTGCTTATTTTTTTCTATATGAATTCACTCTTTCACTAAATTACAGGGTCTGACCAGAAAAAGGCTCTTTTCTTAAGATCTTAATGCCCACAAATCATGACAGAAATAATATTTTAGTACAATGATTGATGTTTAAAAAGGAATTGTAGGGGATCAGCCAAGGGCCAAACAATAAAAATGGCTTCTACTGTAGATGCTCATGAGATTTTGTACTGCTCAACAGCTTCAGATGCTTCAAGATGAGCTGCACCAGCTGCTCAACATGAGCTGCAGGACCTTTTGATACACCTTCATACACTTCAGCCATATAGTTTGCATGTAAATTGGCTTCTCCTGCTGCTCAACTTGTATAGACATATACGTGAAAATAAGTGGAAATGTGTACTGGATTTAGATATAGGATCATTCTTAAATGGTTTTGTTTTTAAGGGAGCTAATACATGTGAAAGCTAGCTTTGTTTTAGTATATAGGGCAAATTGAGAGATTTAGATTTATATGTAATGCGATAGAGTGACTGGGTCTTTTAGATGAAATCTGTTTCTTCCAGGAATTTGAATAACAAAACAAAAAAAAATGTTCCCCACAAAAACATTCATTTTTTCAAAGAGTGGTAGATTTTAGTATCCTTCCTTTTTTTCCTTTGCATCAGTGACAATCAGTGGTGTCACATGAGGCAAAGGACTGAAAGACGGTGACATCAGAGGACATACTGATACCCATTGTTTATGTAGAGAGAGGACTTATGAGCACACAACACAGCCTCTCTCTTTGAACCAAAACACAACTCAGCCAAATAATTCATTATTGTCATCCGATCTATTTCTATGGAGAGAGTTGTTTATTTGTATTAAGGCTGTAAAATGTTCATCGGTCTTTTACTCTTCATTTAAGAGGGTGAGATTTAGCACTGACATATAAAATAGATATAAAGAACACTGGTGACATTAGGTCTGAGTGAGGACAGGCTGATACCCATTGTTTATGTGGAAAGAAAGGACTCATCAGATTAAACAAGCACTTCCTGATGCACAAACGGATCATTTATTGTCATCAGTTCTGAGTGTGTGTTTGGGGCAGTGGGGTTAAATGCTTTTAGATCAATGTTGCAAAAAATGTTTTTAAAGATAAAATTCCAGTTCACCCATGATGAATAAATTCTGATCGCATGGTCCCCCGTTTTTTAAAACGCTGTTTCAGGCATCTGTAGTCAATGTCTACCGTATTGCAGATTTCAGGGACATTTGACATCACATTTAACCTGTATCGCCCGGGTCATCTTTTAAAAACGGTTAATTCATGGGTTTGAAATCACTTAAATAGTTAGTGCTTCAAGAAACTTAAACAATTTTGCTGAAGAACAGAAGGATATATGGGTCTTTTTGAGCATGTGAAGATGTTAGGTTTCAATAGTCAGCACTTAATGTAATGCATTTTTCCCTTTTACCAGAGGAGGGCAGTAAAGATCCATAAGCGCTTCTAAAAGAAGGTTTACTGTGTCAAACCTTTTTCTTACACTTGGTAATTATAATGAAGATATGCTTCTCTTAAAGATATAGAGTAGGATTTTTGTGAATTTTTGAAAAAAGATCTGCCCTTTCCCCTTAAAAAAAAAAAAAAAACAAAAGCTATTAGGAGAGAACGCCTATTAAACACGTGCGAGAGCGTGCACAAGCCAATTTCTCTTTGTGCACACTCTGTTTAAAAGTTGCTGTTTCCATCACTCATACAAGCTTACTTCCTAAAAGAAGAATTGCAATTTTTCCACTATATCAGACTTGGGACGACCACGTAGGACAGTGTTATTTGAAGATATCACCAGAATGATTGACATTAAGGAGGACACCTTATTTTGATGATCCATCCGGAAAAAGAACATCCTCCACTATACCTTTAAGGACTACTCGATTCCCCCTCTTGCCCCTTAAAAAAGCCCCCCCCTTTTTTTTTTATCACTGTTTTTTTTTCACTGATTCACTGTTTTTTATTTAAGAACAAATTTCAAAGCTGGGAAACAGGAACATTACAAAGTCAGTGATCAATACCCACCAGCCCCACCCCAACCTTAGTTACAAATCACATGACCCAATACACATAAAAAAAAGAAAAAAAAAAGAAAAAGGACAAAGCATGTGAGACATCTTATTGCGCATGATTCGCTAGCAAGTCTGAAACTCCCTTTGCAGTTTTTTCCCACATTTGCATGGTTGACACTCTTGCTGTATGGATTCTTGCAGTAGACAGTTCCATCATTACAACATCTTGAAAGTATAACAACCATTTTTTAATAGGAAGCCTGTGTTGTGGGAGCCATCTCTGAACAATTAGTTTTTTTGCTGCTGTTAGTCCTGCGAGCAACACTTTTCGCTGTTTCTCTGTACATTCAAACTATGAGCCGTTATTCAATAACAGCAAACTTGGTTGAAATGGAATCTCTAATTCTAATAATTCAGATAGATTAAAAGTCACCCTTTCCCAAAAAGACTTAACCTCTTAAAACAGACACCTTTAAAATCAAATCTGGTGTCACACTCTGTTTGCTGAGCCAGCTTTTTATGCTTAAATAGTTTGGACTCTGCACACGTACGTTACCAAATGTATATACTGTATGATCTTGTATTGTGAGAAAGTAAAATGTCTTGTCCTTTTTTACTTTTACAGTTTTATATTCCTTATTTCCTTTTACCTATTTTATTTGATTCTGTAATGCTGGAATTTGCACATTATGTATATTTCTGTTCGTCTGATGACATCATTTCTATGGAATCAACCAGACATTGCAATAACTTAGCTCAGCTTTTACTGTGGCTGACTGTATTTGCTGTCTCTCGTCCTTTTGAATATATATATGTGAGGAGTTATTCTATCTTGAACAGTAATCTTCCTTTAGAAATATTGTAGGACTATGTTTTTACATTTCTCTGATCTTTGCCCCTCAGACATTCATTTTGAAATTAGAAATAAGGAAAATGAATAAACACAGTAAATATATTGCGAAACTGGGGATTTCTGTCAATTATAAACATGTATTATATCCAATTAATGTAAATTAAAAATCTGACATTTAATGAGATTCGGTTTGTGGTGAAATATGTCGCTCTGAAATGTTTTTTTCTTATTCTGAAGTTGAACAGTTGAATATAAGATGTTTTCAAATGGATGGACCCCTCATTTCTTTTTTATTTAGTGTCTTTTTCTTTGTTTATGCACAGGAATTTGGAGTTACCTGCAGAGGACACTGCTAAGACTTTACAGTAACGAAAACAATGGTATTAATGTTCTGTGCGGGCCTATCTTCGACCATAACTACGATGGCCTTCGAGACACTATGGAGCAGATTAAAGAGTATGTTTTCTACAGTAGCTTTTACATGGAACAAACTGTGTTGCAGTGGTAGTTGATACCATATGTGAGATTAGAAGCTTGTCTATTTGGGAGGAAATATTGAATTATGTCCTAAGTTGAAAATATAACACAGCATATATTTGGTCTCATGCTTTAGCCTATAATCATTAGCCTTTAATGTTTTAAACGATACAAAAGAAGCAGTCATTACAATATATTGTATCGCCTGGATTTTATTTTTGTTTTCTTGTTTGAAATCATTTAACATCGGAAAGACAAACGTAGTATAATTATAAATGTCCTTATTTAAGAAAAATCCCATTGTTATAAGCTGAGAATTTCAATGAAGCAACTTTTTCATGATTTACAGATTAAGATAGGAGAACTGGAGAAATGATTGAGATGCAAAATGTGAATATCCAAAAAAAGAAAACAAGGATGTAATGCAGATGATCTGAAAGGGAATCAAACCATCCTTTACTTTTGTAACCTCTTTTGGCAAATTTTAGTTAGCTGCCAAATATGCTACAGATTTTAAACCAATTGAATGATTATTTTTGTAAGGGGAAGTAAATCACTGCTTTAATCACAATGCATTTAATACAATGCATGAAAAATGTTATAAAAAGCCCCATAATTTCCAACCTAAAGTCTGACTTTTATGTTTTGAAGGTATTCAGAAGAAGCACTGCCCATTCCTTCCCACTTCTACACCATTGTGACAAGTTGCCAGGAGATGAACCAGACGGTGGATGAGTGTGAAGGGGCACTTAAGGTGTTCTCCTTCATCCTTCCTCACAGGCCAGACAACAGTGAAACCTGCAATGTAAGTTCAAAATAACACCACCAGGAGGCAGCAATGTCCAAACTATCATCTAGAGCAGGAGTGTCAAACTGGTTCCAGAAAGGGCCGTGTGGCTGCAAGCAGTAGCACCAGACTCCATTCATCTCATCAAGTCATCATGTTCAGATTAGACTCACTTGATGAGATGAATGGAGTCTGGTGTGCTATTGTTTGGTTGGAAAGAAAACCTGCAGCCACACGGCCCTTTCTGGAACCAGTTTGACACCACTGATCTAGATTTTTGTTTAACTATTGACAGTATATCTGAGTATGTAATTGGGCTTAAAAGGCCTTAGGATTCAAATTAAAAGATTAGATTATATGCAACTATTATATCATTTTACTAGGATTCATAATTTTTATGTTTCGTAAAATAAAGATTGTGCAATTGTTCTGTTCAGGCATCTAACCCGCATACAAAAATCAACTCCCAGAAGACACTTAAAAACAGGTTTAACAAATTTATTAACAAACAGGGTGAAGGAGTAGATTCAAAAACAGCGGGTCTGGAGTTCTGGTCCTCTGAAAACCAGGGCATAGGGTTAAAACAGCAGGCAGGTTACCAATCAGAAATCAATTTGGCGTCCTGCACCCAGGTAATGAGGCTGATGATTTGCAGGAGCACCTGCACAGATGAGAATCCAAGAGGCTTTAGCAGAGTTCAATAGGTTAATAAGGTAAAAAAAAATATGAAATAGTTCTTTATTTTCATATTCTATCTCATTAACATGGAGTCCATGACTTTCTGTTTGTGCAGACACCCTTTTATGCATATTGTTTTCAGCAATGCCTACAAGAATTTTGTATTTTTTCATCTTAAAGTCAGGCATGGTGTATTGCCATTTTTAGATTGGAAGTCAACTGTCATACTAAATAGTCCCATGACATGCTAATTGATCTGGCTAATTTTTGGTCTTGATCTCTACTGTCTCCTACATATAGTTGCAAAATCAGCTCCACACAAACAGAATTTTTGTAATTTTATTTCCTCACAGTCACCTGAGCAAATGTGTGAGTAATATCTTTCCGTTAATGACACATGTGGAGTATTTGTCACTGAAGCTAGAAAAACAATTAACTGCTGACCTTGTGATTTCAAGTGTGGTATAATATGTCATGTGCTCTAACATCATGACAAACTGATCATGGTTCAACATTTTAAGGAAGAGCAACCCACATAACATGACATTTATATCCAACACAGGGATTCCTCGTCTTACTTGAATTGCAAAATAAACTGTAGCACAGACGGAATCCTCTTTACTTGAGGTTTTTGTTGTGATTTAATAGGGTTAAATGTTCGTAAGCATACCACTAGATCTAAAAGGAACTGTTGTCTTACCATCATATTTACTTTCTTTGTAGCTGCAGAGGCTATTACTGTCAAGCTAAACATGAGCTTCTTTTCTAATGCATGCAACAAGCAGTGGTGGAAAAATAGAACATAAAGAGAAAGTTTAGCAAAAGCATTTTAAAACTGGAATCAGAAAAGTCTCAATTAAGGACTCTGCTTTGGTGATTAGTTACAAATAGGTAAACAGGCAGCTGACATAAATAAATGTGGACATACATAATGTCAAATAAACAAATGCAAGTTTTACAATAATAAAAGGAAAATTGAACATATGCTAAAACTAACATTACTATGTTGTATTTTTTCTGCATTTTATGAGGTCCCTTGCAAACCCATTCATTGAACCACCAATGTGCCCACATATGATCACTAATGTCAGTCTATTTCCTTAGGATGTTTTTTTAGAAGAGAAAAAATTATTTTTGGAAAAAAAAAATTATATGATACTGATTTCTAAATGTTTACAAATAATGATTAAATGTGCCATGCATTTTTTATAATACTTTGCAGAACCACAATTCATACAGTCAGCTTTGCAAACAAATATGACAAATACAGATTCTCTAATTGTTTTGTACATCTTGATCCTGAAACTTTGATTGTTCTTTTTAATGTTGAGCAGAATTGGAGAAAACCAGTGAACAGCAGTTTTTAACTCTTACCGGAGATTCTCAGTTAGATTTGGGCCATAGATTAAGCAATGCATATTTCCATTGTAGATATGACGGTACAATTAGGGTTTTTTCTTCCTCTACTTCCCTAAAAGTTTTAACCAGGTTTTCTTACATAATTGTCTACATTCAGCTTGATTCATCTTTTCAATTCTGACCAGCTTTGCTCTCCCTGGTAAAGAAAAAACCCTCATACTGCCACTACCAGAACTGCTGCATGCAGCATTTTCATGTAGTGTAAAAGTTCACCCTTGATCTCTGGGTAATAGATTTACTGACATATAATAGAAACAAGTACAATATTTACTCCACTTGAGCTCATGTTGGTATAAAGCAGAGGTCATGGATTAGCAGACCAGGGTCCGGATCTGGACCCACCTGCTGGCTAATCAATCTTCTAAACATGGTTTAGAACATTTACAAATTACTGTATGTTGTCTGACAACAGTATCTAACTTTACTTGTGTCGCTTCTCCTGTTAACATGGCTAAAGCTCTCCGGAGCATCCGGCACCAGGTTGCATGTGATACAAATTACCCAATGAGTTGCGTCAGTCTGGGTTGCTGCTGCTAGCTACTTTTAGACACAGCAGGCAAACCGGTGGCAAGCCGGGCGATGGGGAAGAAGGAAAAGATGAGAAAAAGAAAGCAGAGAAAGTGTGGACTGCTGGAAGTACTGCTGTGAACTGGTGAAAGCAGCATTCTCCACCATCAATATAATAAAAAATAAATATCGATCAAGGCTCACGAATGAGCACCTTGATATGTGCTTGAGAATAGCTTTTCAACCATTCAAACCCAGGTTTAAAAATCCTAGCAGGGCAGCGTTAAGTCCACTTCTCTGATTAAGCCATAAAAAAGAAAGAAAAAGAAAAAGAAAAAAAGGTCAGTTCAGATGTTTTATAAAGGATATGAAAGTCAGGAAATCGTCTATATACCGAACTGTGAAAGATTGTTTCAAAAAGCACTTTCGATTTTAAAATGGAAAAGTTTTCTATTTTTTTATTTGTTTTTATTAAAAAAGGCAAGGTATAACATGGATGCACAAACACTTGCATTTTATTTCAGTTTTAAATGCTGTTTAAAGTAACAGATTATAATTTTTAACGGCCTTTGACAATCAACTGGTCGTTGATTTTCTTTTTTTATTTTTTAATTGGTTACCCCTGATATATAACATACAATCTCAACAATTGAGCAAGTTCCAAGTATATGGAAGAAAGAAGGAACAGTTCTTTTCTCTAGTGCTGATGACTTCAGTTAGAAGGAATTTGTCAGATGATATGGAGTACAGTTTTTTGCATAGTCACCAGTGGGGGGGGTGCGTTCATAGACGTCTGACGTGTAGAGGACGTGACAGTTTTTACATAGGTTGGGTTACTTTCCAAGTATTTTCTGGTTTCTGTGGTGTCTAACTTTCCAGCAGCTTTTGCACTTTCTTTTAAGTAGACTGTTCTCTTTTCAGAGGCTGCAAAGGAATATCCAGAGCCTTTGCAGAGCACACAAGCATTTTTATAACCCATCTTGACACGTTTTGCATTTTAGTTTACCTTAAAATAAGCAAAAGCTTATTTGATCGCTGCTGCACTTTATAAATGAAAAGTTGATCTTCACTGCTAAGCTGCTGCTCATTCACTGCTGGAAAGCTGTATAATAGGATTTTATTTTTGAATACATTTTGTATGTACTTTGTGTATACAAAATTACAATAAAGCTTCTCTAAATCTAAGTCTATTCTGAGAAAGGAATAATATGTAAAGAAATGAGGATGACATCACTGTGTGATCTTAGTGGTTTCATCTTTACACCTATATTTATTGGTATCCTGGTTTAAGTTTCACTTGCTGTTTCAGTATGATCTTCTGTATTTCCTATAACCCTATCTTTTTAATGCAGTTCCCAGAAGTAGTTCAGTAAGAGAACATAGAAAGAAATCCGTGTTTACCCATGCAAAACATTTGCTTATTTATATAAAGCATGAGATGTTATTAATCTTCAAACTCATGGCAGTAATCGAAAAATAAACATGTGCTGCGTTGACCCAAAGAATAAACATGACGTAATTAGTACTAAATCAAAATTACAATTCATTTTATCTGAGAGGCTTCTTTGTAAACGAAACCAGCTCTGTGCGTGTTCTACATTCCAACCTTTGGTTTTTACACAGTTGTGACATAAGAAGACAAAATAACAGGAGAAAAAAATCAGGAGCAGTGGATGTCTCATCTTTAATTGATTTTTAATTAAAGTTAACTACTTTAAAGCTCACTGATTTGACTCAATTCAGTTTAAAAATTCTTTATTAATCCCAAAGGCAAACTGATTGTTGCAATTGCATTTATGGCTGAAACAACTAATTAAATTAATTTTGATTAATCGATTATTGAAATAAAGGTAAACTAATTTAGTAATCCATTAATCGTTAACTGGAGTATAGAGACTGTGAAAAATACTTTTAGCTGACAGAGTAATCCACCTAAAGCAGTAATAACCCAAATTGTAAAAAAATATGTAAACATTTTGCATTTAAGATTAAAAAAACAAACAAAAAAAAAACACTTTTTTTGTCTGTCAATAAGCTCTATCCAAAACTCCTCAACTGGAAAAGTTTTAGTTTCACCTGATTTAATTTTCTAAAAAAATCTTCTTTAAGGAACCTTTGGCTATCTGATCATCAATTAATCGAAAATATAAACATAATAATTGATTTGCAAAATAATCCTCAGTTGCAGTCCTAGTTGCATTTAACCCCTCTTCCCAGTAAGCTGCTTCTAATGCCTTGCCCAGAGACCCAGAGTTTCTGTGGTGCTTGAATGGGAAACTTGCAACCTTGCTCCAAATTCAGGAGTCATCAATCCCACAAATCTACTTTCCCATAAAAAACTGAGGTTGTCTGGGTAAAAACCAGGAATCCTAACCGCTGGATCATATGTGAGATGGAAAAGACATGCAAAGGATGAGGATGTCATGGGTGAGATGGAAGGGAAAAAAAGACACATAAAATAAGAATTTAAAACAAAGTTTAATTTATATAGCAAATATAATAAATTGGTTCAAATGACATTTAAAAGGCGGTCATAGTTGTTGGTAGCAGAGCTATTTGTTCACTCCTGCTTGACATCAGAATGACTTGAAGGTTAGAAATTAATGAAAATTTACTAAAAATATTTTACATGCACTGTAAAAAAGACACGTCTCCGTCTTAATATTTGCAATTCGGTAAAACAGAATATTTTAGTAATTCTTGCTCGGCTGAAACAGGAAAAGTCTTGTTTAAATTAAGGCCCTCTTAAGTCTTTTGTAATTAGATTAAAAAAGCAAGAGTGATTTCTTTAAGTTTGTACAGACTTTGTTTTGGTTAAAAATATATTTGATCAGCTTTGTAAGTAATTTAGTCCAACTTCTACAGACTTATCCACTGCCAGAAAACATATAAAATGGGGCCCATGACAGGATCCAGTGAAGCCAAATATTTTCTTTTTCTATGCTTAGACACGTACTATGTGCTAACAGGTTCCAGACATGCTTCGTTTTGAAAGGTTTCAAAATAAGGGTTGCATGTAAAGACATTCGCTTAGATCATATGTGATGCTTTAACTCCATGAACTCCCAGAAAGGATATTTAAAAGGTGGAGTCTCTTGTTATTAGGGTCTCTGGGTACTTGACAACCCTTAGCTTCAGAAAGAACCTTTAAAAAAGGAAATGGACCCAACCAGCGGGGTGTTAGTTTCCATTATAAGGAAGTGAAAAATAACTAACTATAGAGCAAAGGCCTCATTTATAGGTTATTATTTACGGACATAGGCACAAATCTTCCTTAAAATACGAATCAGTGATGTGATGCAGGGCAGTCGAGCAGGATATACACGTGCGCAAAGCAATTGTGACGAGTTGTAACCACAGTTTCAGTAATGTGATAGCATGATGGTAAAGATAACACAAAGATGTCTGTTAATGGCATTTTGTCATTACTGTGGTAGTTTCAATGAGCCCAAGAGGAAACAGGTTTTGACATGTTTGCAGGCTAGTTTTAGGAGCCAAGAAGATTACGTGACAACAACAAAAAAATAAAAACAGCGGTACCCGTTTCTCTTTCAAAACCTAAAATAAATATTTTGTCTTCAAACTTTCTTAAAAAAATGTTGCATTTCCTGTTAGTTTTGTGCACTGGATGTCACACCAACCACCTAAGACAGGCCTTGACATGTGTTGTTTTATGCAGGGGAACCTTCCGTGCCATGCATGACTTCAAGCCATGATGTCTTAGCGTATTACCAACAGTAACCTTTGTAACCTTTTCAGGTCATTGAACAGCTTCTTCCATGTAGTTCTGGGCTGATTTCTCACCTTTTTTAGGATCTTTGAGACCCCATGAGGTGAGATCTAGCATGGAGCCCCACTCCAAGGAAGATTGACAGTCATGTGTAGCTTCTTCCATTCTCTAATGATTGCTAGCACTTCCTAGCCTATTGGAGGTGTACAATTTTGTTTCTAGTGTATTTGGACAGTTTGGACATGTTAGTAGTTGGATTCTTACTGATTGTATGGGATGGACATGTATCTTTATGACACTAATGACCTCAAACAGGTGCATCTGATTTAGGATAATAAATTGAGAGGAGGTGGACATTTTGAAGGCAGACTAACGGGTTTTTGAAGGCCAGAATTCTAGCTGATAGACAGGTGTCCAAATACTTGCAGCTGCATCATACAAATAAATAGTTTAAAAAAACATCTATTGTTATTTCTGGATTTTCTTTTTTTACATAATGTCTCTTACAATGGACATGCACCTATGACAATAATTTGAGACCTCTCCAAGATTTCTAAGTGGGAGAACTTGCAAAATAACTAGGTGTTCAAATACTTATTTTCCACTCTGTGTATTTTATTTAAATTAAGATAATATCAGTAGGTTTGCGGTTTTATTAAGGATTTTTTCATCTGAAGTTCAAAACAAAAACAAAAAAAATAAGATTTTATGCACCATTTTACAGAGAAAAACACACACACACACACAAAAGCAATTTTAAGGAAATAAAGTGGATAAGATGCTGATTTTACAATCCAGCCACAAAGTAACTCATCCTAAAGTAAATCCTATTTACGTAAACATAGATGAGCTGACCTTGATTCAAATCCGTCTCTTATAGCTAACCAGTCTTTGTGGATTTCTTTGCTTAATAATAGTAAAACTCACTCCAAATGCTTCCATGTTGAAATAGAAACTTATATTTTTAATTAGTAACCAATATTATTTTTTATTTATCTGAATAATTCAGAATTAAATCCATGCTAAACATTCCATAAAATTCACAGAGAAACACACATAAGCTTGTTAACCAGTCTTTCCTGCAAAAATTAATCTGTTTTGAGGAAAAAATGCATCTTGTAATGTGCTCTGTGGTTTCCCGTAGAAGCCTTTCAATGAAACACATGGAAACTACGCTTGCAGATATTAAGATTCACTGCTTACGAATATCAGTGAAAGCATCATACATTAGTGTCTACACAACATTGACTTGTTATTGTTAGCAAAGATGAATGTTTTTCAGATAAAATTAAATTGTAGCAGAACAAAACGGTCTTTATACTCCACTGCATAAAAGCAACATCAACTGTTTAACATTAATTTTCTCATGAATTTTGCCACAATGTGGCAACCATTTCCAAGAAGTGAGTATTCTGCGTCAAACAAAATAGAATAATGTGAAAATCCCTAATTGCCTCCAGCCGTTGTTTAATCCAGGAAACTATCAAGATCTATCTGCTATATTAATTTCAACATAAGTTTATTTGTATAGCACATTTCTGTAAAAAGGATACTTCAAATTGCTTAACATGGCAAACAAAACTGAGATCAAAAATCAAACAAAAAAAAGTCATATTTCAGAACTGCTTTAAAGTTGTTGATTCTTTTGTCCTATAAAACTGGATTTAAAAAAAATAGAAAACTCTTTTTGACGTGAAAAGATTGTTCTAGTCGAGATGAGAAATCAATAGTCACAGTAAGACCCTGATTCATAGATACACTTGCTAATCATTTGTTTGAAATACGCTTGTTCTTTTCTAAACATGACCAACACAGTGACACACTTTGCTTAGTGTTTCCCATTTATCCAAAAGGATAGATCGATAAATCACAACATCCAGAATTTTATTCCGTTGTTTGTATCTGTAATTGAATATGACTAAATCAGTTTCATAGCTTTGATCGAGCTGCTCTGAATAATCAAGGTCTGATTTTTGTAGAAAGGTTTATGCAGTAATATGTGTGCAGTAAAGCATATACATTAAAGAGGGAAGCAGGGGTATTCAAGCTCATTTATGTTGTAGTTATGAAGCAGAGAGAGCAGTTTTAACTCAGACTGGCAACTACTGTAAATGTAGAGTTAGAGCCAACTATTAAATGTCATGTGAAACTGGGAATGCAAAAGCTTTTCCTGCTCAGACTAGATTACTGGTGTTCTGATGTTCTTATAAGCAGAGTTAAAAATATTTATCTCCAGGATCAAGTATGTATGCTGTTTTGTAGCTGTTAACAAAAAGGTTAAAGCAGTAAATAAAACCAACTACCAGTTTTAGTCTGTTAGGCAGACACCCTGTCTACTTTTAATGTAGCTTCATCTGGTCTGTTCCTGTTTGGATGTGACCTCATCCTGGAGAGAAATAGCTGTGATGCTGCCATCAACACCTTTGTTTATAGATGTTGGAGATCGGTCTGTTTTTCCAGTCTGTTTTTCCAGACTGTGACTGGCTGGATGTGCTGTCTTTATCCTCTGACATGGGAGCTGGCTAAGAGCTCGTCTGCCTGGATGTGTTTCCTGGACGGGGCCGTCTTTTACAGATGTTTTTTGTATCTCTGCTTCAGTCTCCTTCTGAACCCCAGTCGGCCTCGGCACACTGACCCTGGTTCTGCTTGAGGTTTTCCTCTCTACTGTCGCTACATACTGGCTTGCAGAGAATCAATGATGCAATGAGCTGATTTCCTCCAATAATAACACATTGAATTGAATAAAATTTCTCAAATTGCAGATTTTTTGGTTTGAGTCTCTCCAGGTCAAATTAGAAAGTGTTTAAAAGACACAATCCCCTTTTAACTGGCTTTAGGTGCCCTTTGACATTAAACAATTTTCAGCTCTCTGACATCCTGTTGCAGTGTTTTTGTTTTGTAGAACATTTGTCTTTCTTACTCATTTCAACATGATTCACTTCTCCTCCAATGGTTTATTTGGTTCTAAAACATCGGTTCTACATTATGGGTTTGGGTTTTTGAATGCCTGATAAGATCCCTTTGTTGAAGTAACTACACTTTCCATGATCTCAATCACTGCAAATTGATTTAAATACCTTTTCGTTATTTGGCCATATCGGATTGTTTCATCTCTCTGATTGTTTCAGGCTTTTTTCTGTGTATGATTTTTGCTGATTATAAATAGCTGCATGAAGTTATTTGATCCTGTGTACTTTCTTTGAAAATAAATTAGGGCTATTAGATGTGTTATGAAAAATTCCTTTCCACGGAAAGGGAAGTTTATCATTAGGATTTGTTTGTATCCGTGGTTATAAATCCATTATTTATGTTTGCAGAATGCCGAGAATGAGTCCCAGTGGGTTGAAGACATGCTGAAGCACCACACAGCTCGAGTTCGGGATGTGGAGATCTTAACGGGCCTGGACCTTTACAGATCCACCAACCTCACCTATACCAGCATCCTGGGCCTCAAAACCTACATGAACACCTTTGAGAATGATGACTAGACTAAGAAACTCAGACACAGATGCACAGAATGTCATGACAGCCCTGTATTATCTCTGCATGCTCGCTGAAGTATACTTATTTTGCTTCAAAGGAACTGTTTAAGAAGAGCTTTAACATGGGGGTACATTTCTGGTAATTAATAAAAAAGACCTTTCTCTAACATAATGCATATTGAAACTGAAGACAGTAAGGTTTTAGCAAAGATTAGTAACACTAAGCCTTAAACAAGATCTTATCATGGAGGCAGACTTCATGAGTAACTGAAACAGAAATATTGCTTCTGATGTTACGCATGAATTGAAACAGAAAGAGCGCACCTAACCCTGTAATCTATATGCAATTAAAGAGATCCTCCTATTAACTGAAAAGCACATAAGCTCAGACATATTGTGTTTTCCCAGTGTTTGTAAAACCAAAAGCAAATCACATCTTGTGAAAAAAAAATGCTATAATTTGGATATACAACCAAAAGAATTGATGCTTACCTCCCTTAAAATGCTTACAGAAGCACCGAAGTATGCCACATAATGCAAAACATTATAATTTGTCTGCATACTGAATCTAACCCCATATAATACTCTGGTACCAATGCTGGGTCAACCAAAGCTAACCATATCTTTACTTTTTTGCTCAACATTTATAAAATATAGAACTGTTCAAAACATAAAAAAACTAATTCAACCAAAAATATTTCTTACTGTTAATCATCCTTTTATTTTTGCATCATAAGTAAATTAAGTTACCCTATTTAGCTTTAAAAAGGTTAAAATACAAACCTTTATCCTCCACCAATACAAGCTCCTTGGCTGTTTTAAAGAGATCTTTGGCTTAAAAAATTGTATAAATACAACCTAGTAGAGTCAGTTAAACCGGATCACAAAATCATTTTATTTTATTTCAAAAAAACCTTTGCATGCACACTTAATTGTGCACAGTGTCACAAACATCATCCAAATTACTCACTATCTTTACTTGTATACAATTTACTGATTGGATTAGAATGTATTCAGATTGAAAAACAAATTCCGTAAAAATTCAAAAAATATCCACTGGACTTGGTTTCCAAGATTTGAAGACGTTTCGCCACCTGCAGGAAGCTTTCTCAACTCGAATTGAGAAAGCTTCCTGGAGAGGTGGCGAAACGTCTTCAAATCTTGGAAACCAAGTCCAGTGGACATTTTTTGAATTTTTACGGAATGACTATGACCTGGATGACTGAGAACCTTCATCAGCATTGAAAAACAAAATAACTAATCAGATTATACTGTATATATGACCATAAGTAATCGGAAAAAAACACCTGATCAGACTGCAAACGTGCAATGTGAAAATGTCAGATGGAATATGCTGACATAGCGTCTAGTGACTCAAAGCAGAAATGCATAACCTTTCACATGCTCACTCTATTGTCTATTGGTCTATTGTCTTCATTTCCTCTCAGTTGGATTACAATTTTATTCCAATCCTGTGAATACAATTAGAATATTCAGACTGCTCTTTACATTACATATTTTCAGTTCAATACCTTTATTTTAGTTAGTGTCCATGTAAACGTAACTACGTAGAAGTAAAAACCTATTTTTTTCTCTTTTAGTTGACTTAATCAAAATAAGGGATACAGGAATTCAAAATGGCAAATAGCCCAGACTAAGGTGTTATGGCGAAATGGACATTTACATACTATTGATAAACTTTAGGAAATTGGTTGAATATGATTTGAACTGGGGTTTAGTGGTGTCATGCAGATTTCAGATTCTCTGTCATATCAAGGATTGCTTAGTCTTTGACCCAAAGCGTCAAAAGCACTTGTCTGATGTTGCATTTGTTGTCAGTTTATTTGTCTTATTGAACTGACAGCATTTATACTCTTAACTGTGTACAGATAAAGAGTCACAACATTTTACATTTTTTTCATTTAATTTGATAGCATTATAATCATGAGTTAACAATATTGACATACATAATCAGTAGAATAGAAAATGTGACTGACTTTAAGAGCTTAAGTTGAAAACAAACCGTTTTTTTGTTTGTCTAGTCTTTTAAATAAAACCCATGTAGATCAGAAAAAAAAAGAATATTGGGAGTGGAACTCAGTTTTTTTTTCGTATGCACATTTTCTACATGAAAATGACACTTTTTGCAATGAAGTGCTTCTTTTTTCTTCATATGTACTGATGCATGCTTATGTGACTTCAGTATTCCACTATAAAGCCATGTTGGGTCCTCTTCCAAAAGTGATTTTCCCAGAAAGAAAATGTACAGTAAAGTGATTCCCTATGACATAAAGGTTATACTGAAAAACATTCCCATTTGCTCGGGTTGCTCTGTCATTTAACTCCTGTGTACGCATTCCTGTGTTGGTACTTTAGTTAGTAAGTGCAACATAACAGAATTACATTATTTATTGGGTTAAATTTAACTTTATGCAGTTCACAGTATACTGAAAGCTTCTGAAAGCCAGCTGGAACTTGGACTAAAATCCACTAAATTGTCAGCATCCATTAAGTGGTTTACAACTGCATCTCTTCTTTCCAACCATACAGCCAGTTCTACACTGATTTAATGCTAAGAAATGTCATTCATAAAAAAATAATGAACAATGTAGGAAAGAGGGTGTGTCCTTGTCTGACTTCACTACTGACATTGGAGGATGCAGATACACAGATGTCCTACTTGATGTGCATGGTTTGATTGGCATACAATAAAGACATCTTACTATATATCATACTGTACGATACCAAAATTTTTATAAAGCACTTTAAACACCCAACAGGACCAAAGTGCTATACACAATCATAAGCTACAAATGGTCAATCATGAAACAATAAAGTGGTATATAAAAGTAATAATATAATAAAATCAGTAATAAAACAATAAATGAAACACAGTAAGACAAAGTCAACAGTTTGTGTCAAAATATATTTAGACAAAGCAGCTTGACTTAATGTTAGACTATGTTTTCTTTGGTTTATCCTGCCAAAGGCCTTTTGTAGAGTGCTTATTATTATAGTTACTCTATATAGTTAATATTTCCTTTAGACCATATATACGCAGCTGGATGCCATTTTTAGACTTAACCCAAATTGAATGTATGCAGCCATTACATTTTAATCAATTGATTTTAGCTTCTTGAAAATTTTTTGTCATCTTTACCTACCCTTTTTGTGCAAAATCAGCCCTTATGGTTTGCTCATTCTTTTATTCGAATGGTATGGCATATTTATATTGTACCTTTGTCAACTTTGAGTTCAAATATAGAACCTGGTCCAGCTTAACCCATTAAAGTCGAAGTAGTAGCAGCTTTCCAGTCTGTAGAGTGTTGTTGAGATATATATATTTTTCAACCAGGCCTAATTTGATCACAATACTACTTTTAATGCCTTAAATATATCAGGTAAAAAAAAAAAGGGATATGTCGGTTTTCTGTCAGATATTTGACCATTTGCAGACCTTGCATGCATTTAACTATCTTGGCAATATAACATTTTTGTTTGTTTCTCTCTCCCATTTATCCTCCTCCTGTTTAGTCACTCTTGGCTGGTTTGTCATCATTTCTTTGCCCCCTTCTTGTTGTGAGTATTCCTGGTTTTCAGCATTTTTTGGTTTTTGTGGATTTATGTTTTTGGATTTTGCTTCTGTTGTACTTTTGTTATTAAATCTCCAAGAAACCACTTCTGCCTCGGTCTGCATTTACAGGTGCTGGTCATAAAATTAGAATATCATGAAAAAGTAGATTGATTTCAGTAATTCCATTTAAAAAGTGAAACTTGTATATTATATTCATACATTACATACAAACTCATATATTTCAGATGTTTATTTTGTTTAATTTTGATGATTACAAATGACAACAAATGAAAATCTCAAATTCATCATATCAGAAAATTAGAATATTACTGAAGACCAATAAAAACAAAGGATTTATAGAAATGTTGGCCAACTGAAAAGTATGAACATGAAAAGTATGAGCATGTACAGCACTCAGTATTTAGTTGGGCCTCCTTTGGCCTGTATTACTGCAGCAATGCGGCGTGGCATGGAGTCGATCAGTCTGTGGCACTGCTCAGGTGTTATGATAGCCCAGGTTGCTCTAATAGTGGCTTTTAGCTCTTCTGAATTGTTGGGTCTGGTGTATTGCATCTTCTTCTTCACAATACCCCATAGATTTTCTATGGGGTTAAGGTCAGGAGAGTTTGCTGGCCAATTAAGAACAGGGATACCATGGTCCTTCAACCAGGTACTGGTAGCTTTGGCACTGTGTGCAGGTGCCAAGTCCTGTTGGAAAATGAAATCTGCATCTCCAAAAAGTTGGTCAGCTGCAGGAAGCATGAAGTGCTCTAAAACTTCCTGGTATGTGGCTGCGTTGACCCTGGACCTCAGAAAACACAATGGACCAACACCAGCAGATGACATGGCACCCCAAACCATCACTGACGGTGGAAACTTTACACTGGACTTCAAGCAACGTGGATGAAGTGCCTCTCTTCTTTTCCTCCAGACTCTGGGACCTTGATTTCCAAAGGAAATGCAAAATTTACTTTCATCAGAGAACATGACTTTGGACCACTCACCAGCAGTCCAGTCCTGTTTCTCTTTAGCCCAGGCAAGACGCTTCTGACGCTGTCTGTGGTTCAAGAGTGGCTTGACACAAGGAATGCGACAGCAGAAACCCATGTCTTTCATACGTCTGTGTGTGGTGGTTCTTGAAGCACTCACTCCAGCTGCAGTCCACTCTTTGTGAATCTCCCCCACATTTTTGAATGGGTTTTGTTTCACAATCCTCTCCAGGGTGCGGTTATCTCTCTTGCTTGTACACTTTTTTCGACCACATCTTTTCCTTCCCTTCGCCTCTCTATTAATGTGCTTGGACACTGAGCTCTGTGAACAGCCAGCCTCTTTAGCGATGACCTTTTGTGTCTTGCCCTCCTTGTGCAAGGTGTCGATGGTCGTCTTTTGGACAACTGTCAAGTCAGCAGTCTTCCCCATGATTGTGTAGCCTATAGAACTAGACTGAAAGACCATTTAAAGGCTTTTGCAGGTGGTTTGAGTTAATTAGCTGATTAGAGTGTGGCACCAGGGGCCATCAATTTTGAACCTTTTCACAATATTCTAATTTTCTGATATGATGAATTTGAGATTTTCATTTGTTGTCATTTGTAATCATCAAAATTAAACAAAATAAACATCTGAAATATATGAGTTTGTATGTAATGTATGAATATAATATACAAGTTTCACTTTTTAAATGGAATTACTGAAATCAATCTACTTTTTCATGATATTCTAATTTTATGACCAGCACCTGTAGGTCCTGTCAAACTCCCATCCCACTGTGACAATACAAACCAGCTAAGAGTGACTGAACAGGGGGAGAATAAATGGGAGAGAGAAACAAAGACCAGCCTGATTAGCAGATTGGGAGCAGGTGTGAACAGAGGACGCAAGAAGGGAGCTAGGGAGAAGGAGACTTACACAAGAGGGCAAACAAGTAATATCTAAGAACTCAAATACAATCAAAAATAACTAGAACACAATATGGAAATAAGAGCAAAGAAAACTCATGACAACCATTCAACCAAAACCATAAACTATTATGTACTAGTGAGTCAATACAAGGGGAAATAGAAGTAAAATAAGTTTTGCCAAAACATATAGTTTTATTTTGGGATTTTTCCTGTCAGTATAAATGCTAAAATGAAAAAGATGTGAATAAAAAAAAAAATAAATAAAAAATGGTGTTTTGTCTGTATTAGCTAAGGGGTAAGTTAAGCCACAAAAGCTTAAACGTGTTGTTAATCCAGTCTAGTACAGAGAGGATGGTTGGAATCCCATATGTGCAAGATTCAACTTTACACTTGGACCTCAAGAACAGGAGACACCCCCTTGACAACCAAAATGTTCAGATTTTGGACAGAGAGGACAGATGGTTTAAAAACAGGGGTGAATTAAGCCATCTTTACTGAAAAGGAAAAAACAACACTGAACAAAAATCTACAATTCAGTCCAGGAACTCATGTCAAAGAAATAACATTAAGACATTAATTTTGATTCAAAAACCAAAAGGCTGTCCTTAGTGCTTAGGAATGTGCCAAATTACCTATGTAAAAGTGGTTTTCACCACTCCATTACAATATACTGTATGCATATTACCTGATATGTGTATGTTGCAGGGTGAGATGTTACTAAAACAGGCTGATTTTAAACAAAGTTTACCACTATAAAATCTCAAACTGTTATTTTTAGCATCCTTATATCTTCTCCCACTTGTTTTTGGACTGTTGGATGAAGCCGATGTACCCGGAAAGAACTTGCGCATGCACTGGGAGAACATGCAAACTTGATGCAGAAAGACCCAAGGACAGAAAGGTAACCTAGGATCTTATTGCTCCAAGGCCACTATGCTACAAATTGTGTCACAGTGAATCTTTTCATTTAGAGCACAGTGGTAAATTAAAATCTTCGACTTCCAGATTGCTACTTTTCCCCCGTGGTGTCACAATTGATTAAAGCACAGTTGAGCCTTCTCTTGTAAGCTAGATTAACATGAATTCCTGGTAAACAGTTTTGCTGTCAGTATCTCTTGAAGCTTCTCTAATGAATGGAAATGGCCGGTAGGGGAAGAGTTGGAACACATTGTTTCTCTGTGTGCATATAAGACATTTATCATTATGTACATGTAAATAGGTAACAAGGGTTGATAGCAGATACAACCATTTTAGGCTAACTAATAGTTTCTTTTTACTTATTTATTAAGGCAGTAAAAATTTCTTCAAAGTGAAAACTAGTGGCCAAGAGGAGCAAAAGTGTTGTGAATATATAAATGAGCACAAATACAAAAGGTACTGGATACACAAGAAATTCTTAGCATAACATCGATGTGATTCCTGCTCACAGGACAATTGGAGGGAAGAAGAGGAGTTGTGTAAATTACAGTGGTACACACACATTTGTTACTTAAGTAGAAGTATAGATACTGCAGTTTAAAAACACTCTGGTAAAAGTTGAAGTATCAACTTGACATCTTTACTCAAGTAAAAGGGAAAAGGTATGTGCAACATAAACTACTTAAAGTATAAAAGTATTAAGTAACCTTAAAAAAAAACAGTGAGATGCCACTATATGAATTGAAAGCTCAGATGAGGAAGGTCTTGTTCGTCTCCATCTCGCCTGTGAGCAACCTTTCAGACATTTCAACATCATTTTCTGAATCAAACATTAGAGCATGGCAGAGACATTTCGCATTTTCAGTTTGAAGAAAACCTGCTTGCTTCTAATGATTTCCTTTGGCGTCAGCACAAATTTGATGAATAGCTAACAAATGAGTGTTTGCATTTCATGACTCATCCAACAGTTTTCACTAGAAGAGGATAGTGCCAATGATCTGCATTGCATGGCGCACATGACATGAAATAAATATTTATAAACATTAAACCGAAGCCAAGAGTAACGAGTAACTCCTATTTTAAAAATGTAAGGAATAGAAAGTACAGATACTTGTGTGAAAATGTAATGAGTTAAATTCAGAAGTAGGAAGAAAAACAAGTAATGGAGTAAAGTATACATACCTAAAAAGTGTGCTTAAGTACAGTAACAAAGTATTTGTACTTTGTTACTTGACACCTCTGGTAAATTAAATGTAATTCCAGGTTCAATGCATTTGGTTTACTTACAAAGTCAATAGGAGATGCCATGGAGGGGTGTCAGGACATCCAGCAGCAAGGTATAAGCATCATAAGCGTTGATTCTTGCAGCATTTCAAATATCGGGAGTAGTTTTTTTTTTATTAAAAGGATTTTTGCAAAAAAACAATAGAGAAGCCTGAGGTATACATTAGGTACAGAACAGGCATGCCCTAAGTTGGTCCTAAGGGCTGCTCTCCTGCAGGTTTTAGACTTCTCCCTGCTTCAGCACAGCTAATTCTGATGATTGCACTTCAGCACAAGACTGTTAATATCAGCTATCAATGAAAATTAGCTGTGTTGAAGCAAGGAAATGTCTAAAACCTACTGGACAGCAGCCCTTGAGGGCTGACTTTGGGCCTGGCTGATATAGAAAGAAGTGTAGGATGGAGTGTGAAAAAAAAAAGGAAGAGTGGTGCTGCAGGCAGTGGCTGTTCTGTCCTTTCTCAAACCCTTTGAACTGTTGAGGATCCAGAATAGGCAAGGCTGCAGGAACAACAGATCACTTGTTTATGTTGGGATCTGGAGATCTGTTCCACCTTTCTCCAGCAGAGGGCGCCCTAGGTCTCCTGGAGCTGAAGCTGACTACCACACCTGCGGCTGATTTGCTCATCAGGGAGATCAGCATATAGCAGCGGCAGGACTACTCTTCAGCGCCAGAGTGTTAAGCCAGTTACGGTTAGCAAGCCTGAGCCAACCAGCCTGCCTGATTCTCTGACTCCCTGAAAGCCTGACTTGAACCTAACCAGTTTTCTGTCCTCTCTGCTTCCTAGGAAGAATCTGACTGAGACCCTGGAGCTATGGAAGAGCTACTCAACTGAAACCTGCCTGCCTGCTCTCAGTAACAAACCTGAAGATCAAACTGTCTGGATCTGCTAACCATCCTTCAAGAAGCTACTTGAAGAAGCTCTGAACACTCACAAGCCTGAAGCTAAGTTCTGTCGCTGCCAAGCCCTCTGCCATCGATCAGTCTCTGGACCCTCCTGGTAGAGTCCTGCAACAGGTCCGGTACCCGCGGGTCACCCGCAAAAATGCTCTTTAGATTTATGTTCTCATGTTTTTCTGTTGTCCTCTGTTGCCCTCTTGTGTGTGTTTTCCTATCCCCTTGGCTCCCTTGTTGTCTCCTCTCACACCTGCTCCTTGTCAGCTCGTTAGCCCTGCCTTTGTCTCTGCCAGCTATATATGTTCTCCCTCTGCTCTCACTCTTTGTTGGTTCCTTGTTGTTGCTGGTCCTGTCCTCGCTGTTGTTGTCTCACCTTGTCTCTCCCTGGCTCCTTGTACGTGTTTTCCCTTGATGTCTCCATGGTTCTGGTCTGTTACATTTTAGTTGGATTTTTGGACTACCTTTGTTAACCATTTTCATCATTAAAACCACAAATATTGACCTCAGCCTCTCTGCCTCTGCATTTGTCCTCCAAACCTCAACCAAGACGTGACACTCTCCTCCTCTTGCATGTTTCCGCTGTGCATAGCGTTCCTTGACAGTGTCGTTTCTAAGTCACCAATTTAGTGCTACTTGCTCCCAGTGTAATTTCCCATTGAGAACCTACTAGCACTAAGTTGCTAACTGGTTAGCAAGATGTTCCGGAGTCACTGGCCACAACCAAACTTGTTTGCGAACCTTCCGTCACAACAATCCCATCCCTTTGATAAATAACCAATCACATTTACTTTATTTATTCGTGTAAATCGGGCACCACTCGGGAGAATCCGGAAATGCAAAGGTTGGAACAGCCGCTTTCCAACGACTTTAAGCAGCTATTCAGTCCAAAGGTTCTAAATTTCACATTTAATAAAAGCAGCATGAGCTTATCAGTTAAACTCAAGGTTTATGCTGAGAGGCATGACTTGTCCTGTCCTGTCCTGCCTCTTTAAGCAGATTCGAATTTCTAGAGAGCAAAATAATTAAACATTTTGCAATAACTCTACAAATTCTACACGTATAATATCGCCTAGAGAGACTTGGAATTGGGCGTTATGTTTGGGAATTGGCAGTCTGACACATGCAACACAAATAATAAGCCTTGGAAAATTATTACATGTTGCTTGCTTTTTTCCAGGGTGAGCCAGTCCTCCCTCGCACATCTCCAGTTGAAGCAAAATGCAGCCGCACGCCTTTAAACTGGAATACGTGAGAGGGAGCACATAACTCCCACGCTGGCCACTCTCCATTGGCTGCTTGTGCATTTTAGGAGTTTTTGTTTTTGAGTCTTAAAATGGCTTCACCCCTCTCTACCTCTCTGGGCTTCTTCACCACTATGCTCCAAAATTCTGGAATGAGCTCCCCATCTTCAATCCACTTCACTGTCAATTTTTAAAACTCGGCTTAACACCTATTTTTATTCTTTGTCTTTAAAAACAGCATGGGACTTTTTTCGTTTGTGGTTTTTTATTGTTTACTTTTTGGTTTTATTTGTTTTGATTAATTTATTTTAATATATTTGTTTAATTCCTTTAAACTTCTATGTTCTTTTCATACAATTTTAACTTTACCAGATATCTACAGCACCTTGTGGCCGCTGTGGTCATTTTAAAGGTCTTTATGAACAATGTTGAGTTGCATGAATTATTCCCAATTTCTTCAATTTAATAAAGTAGTAAATCCATGAAAGTGAAGGGTGTGAAAAAGTGAGTTCATTGATCTGTTGTGTTACTGTGTTTAATCACAGTGAGGTGACATTATCTCTCAGTTCTGCAAATCAGTTACTCTGTCATTTACTGCCGCTGGTCCAGAGGTCACTGCAGAGATTTATCTATTTTGGCGATAACTCTCTCTGTCTGACTTTTACCTTCTTCTCTGTCTTCGGGTTGTGTGGATGTGAAACCAGGACCGATTGTGGCCATGGATGTGCTAAAATGGTTACAGAACCACAAGAAGCAAACCATAGTAAGTATTTCTGCTATGTTTTTAGAATGAAAGTGTACAAACTTTTCTTAAATAAGCAATGCTGCAGTTATACTAAATCTCAATGTTTTCTCATTACTACTTACATTAATGACTTTAATGGATATTTGTATTAATTTTATTCCTGTTCGCACATTTTGCTGCACATTACACACTCCAGTTTTGAATAATTACTATTATCTTTGTATTATTTGCAATAAATATAGTACAACTAACATGACTTAAAAGAATCGATTTTAAATGTCTCAGTTGCCAATTTGTATTCAGAAAATGAAAGACAGATTTGTTTTATTTGGAATAAGTTATGTAAAAGTTACAGGAAACTAAATATTTTTTGTTCATTAATTGTGAGTAGCATCTTGACAAGGAGGAATATTTACCTTAATAAAGTAGATTTTTGCTTACATTACTGCATGGAGGAAGTAATTTAGACCAAATGCTTTGCTGAGATCTTAGGATGATCTTCATTATTGGCTCTAGTCTCTTACATTCCATACTTGAAAGTTTCTTGTCAGGGTTCAGCGTAAGGTGAATCATCAACTGGGATACCATGGCCTTTTGAAAAGTATTGAGACTTTCGGCAGTATGTATGGGCTGGCACCTAGTCCTGCTAAAATAAAATCTGTATCTCAATAGCAGAGAAAGTATAAGAGATTTAAATAGCTCTTACGTTTTGCCATATCTTGTTTTTATTTTATATACTAAACAAAAGCAGGTTCTATTAGATTGTGAATCTTCTTTTGAGAAAATTCTAGAAAAAAATAAGTGCAATAATCTGCCAGAGCAGTCATTGCACTAAGACTTCTTGGTTTGCGAATGTATTTCATGATGTCAAGAAGTCTTATGTATTGACAGTCAGACAATTGCAGGGCCAATATTCTGTCCTAACCCTTCTTTCACAATGTTTCCTGCCTCCAGGTTACATGTGTCATAAGTTGGATATGCCCTTTCACCGTTATGCTGATGACTACTAAGTTTACTTTCCTCTGCATAAGGAGGAGCGAAACAACTTTCATATGTTGCTGAAATGTCTGGAAGAAACCAAAGCCTGGATGACAAGTTTTGATTAATTCCTCTTCGCTAACATTAATTCTGTCTCATATGATGTCTTTTGACACTATTTTTTGGGTGAAACCAGATGGTGATATGAAATATGATGAGGAAGTACAAATGATTTAGTTGTACAAACAACTTTTTTTTTTAAACTAAGCAGTTTGCCAAAATTAAAAATGTTCTTTCAGGACAGGAGCGTGAAAGAGTCATCATGCTTTTATTACCTCACATCTAGACGTTTGCAAATCTCTGTGTTTAGGTGCCATGTTTTCAGCCGCCTCCAGCTTGCAGCAGCAAATCTTTTAAAACGATCTCTCAGGCAGGAAGCACATCACTGCAGTCCTCGACGAACTTCACTGGTTTTCTTTTAGCAACACAATTTATTTCGGAATTCTTATGTTTCTTCTTTAATCGCTTACATGGCCTTGCCCCACACTATCTCTCACACTTTTCTAAACCATATCATCATTTACAGTCTCTAAGGTCAGCTGATCAGCTGCTCCTGCCCATTTCAAGGTCGAGGCTGAAACTCAGAGGTGATAGGTCTTTTGCAGTTGCTCGTACGATGCGTCATTTTTTTGCCTTGGCCCTCAACACACGAGCCACGAGTCAGCTGTGTACTTTGTCTTTATATCTGTTTTTGTTTATTTATTTTATCACTTTTGTTTTATCATTTGTGATATTGATATGCACAGTAACAATTGTTTTATAACATGTTGCTCGACATCACATTGTAAGACTTGGTTAGATGGACAGTTTGTGCAGAGCTCAAGGAATATGACAGTTGTGGGTACATCTGAATGTTGTGGAACATCTTGCTCAGTCCACATTAACTGGGTACACTTTCCCCTTCTACTGATCTTTCTCCTAGTTAGCTATTTTAGTCTCTCTATGGGAGGATTTACAGTATATTATTTAGATTGTCTTACTTTTTGATAACTTTCATTTTTAAAACAGAAATGAATGCCTAATTCATCTTTACAGAATCTATGACTTTTGCTTTTTGAGTTAAATTAGTGTGTTACATTTTTATGAATTTGTAAGCAAGCTAAGGCAGGTAACAGTACCCTGCTGCAATGAATTAACATGAAACTTGAAGTCTGATATGTGCAAAAGCTGTAAATAAATCATGACATTTGCTTTATTTGATAGAATATTGTCTTGGCTGTGGTGATTGTGGTCATAATCCTTGGTCTCGGACTGGGTCTTGGGCTGGATTTGCAGAGATGTAGGAGCAAAGGTAATACTAGAAACAAGGTACAGGTTTCTGCATGCCTAACCACCTCATGAAACTGTAGCCTGATGAATGAGTCTCAGATAAAGAAGCGGGGCACCCACGCCACAACGTACACTGTCTTGTGATCGTCACTACAAACGTCTTTTGTAATAATCCACAGTGACTTCTAGTATTAGTATCTAGTTTCAAATGTGTCAAACAAGTTTTGCGTACTTGTATTTGTAAAAATCAGTTATTACAAATACAGGTTTTTCAGGCAATGTGATTCATACATCATGCTCATCAGGAATTTTACGTTGAAGAAATTTTATGCTGCTGAGTAACTCTCTCTTTTTTTACAGCGTCATCTATCTGGCAATGTGGCAATAAGAATAACTGTCTTGATGCCAAAAAGAACCCAACAGATTTTACTCTCACAAGAGAAGCAGTGTTCTGCTTGATTTATGCATATAGATAACTTTATTATATTATTCATGCAAGGAGTATTACAGATTATATGGACACTGCAATGGGACAGTAGAACAGGAAAGGAAAAACAGTAAAAAGGAGAAAAGATGAAATAAAGAGGAGATAAAAGGGAGACAATCATAAAACGTCTTCAGTCTGCTTCATCACCTGCAAAGAGAGATATAAAAAGAAAAGCACAACCAACGGATATAGTATAAGCGATACAATAAAGTAACACCTTGATTCCATCACTGAAGTATAAGTAGTATTATTAAATCTGACATGTATGCTGTGGTACAGTAGCTGAAGATTAGAGTATAGGCTTTCTGTATGGAAGTGAATCTCTAAGTACCTGGAACCAAGCGCCTGTAGTGTTTTGTAAGGTTAACTTGTGCATGTAAAGTTTATCCAAGGGAAAAATGCTCAATAGTGGTTGAGAAAGATTTGCTTTTTCAAGAAACATTTCTAGTTGCCACAGTTACAGCATGATGATCACTGTTTCAGTTTCCGAAAATCACTTTGCAGTTTTGATACACTCTCAAAGCACTCTGACTAGGTTGTCGGGCCATTTGAATAAAAACAAACTACGCTATGCAATCTGCTAATTTTAACCAAAAATAACCAATTGAAACTGAATAAAAATGTGAAAAAGTTAAATGTGAAGACACAGCATAAAGACTATAGAAGAATATTTATAAAATATCTCCTATTCTATATAATAATATGATGAATAAGACTATTAGTAAGGCAATATGTATAGCAAAGGAGATTGTATCTCTCTTTAGAATGTGAGAAGAGACAGTTTTGAGATCAGATTGAGCCTTTTTGACCAGTTTGTTTCAAGAAAGTATTATAGCTCTCCAAACCATGAATATATAAACGTGTGTCTTAAGCATAGGAAAAACACTGGTAAGATTAACATAACAACAATAATAGTTTCAAGGTTTTTGGACATCATTGTTTTATTCATTCAAATTCAATTTTTTTATTTATTTGAGTGGCAACAAAAAAATTACCTGTCTGCTGTTTGGCTTATTTGCAAAACTCAGCTGTACTTTAAAAAAATAAACAAATGATAAACTGTTATTTTATTGAGCTTAGAGGGACCCAAACTCAGACGGGCAGATAGAGACAGCACAGTGAGTTAATAATCTTAAATCTTTAAAAAGGAAAAAGGTGCATAAACCGGTGCATAAACAGCTTAACTGGTATGGCAGAAAATAGGAGTGAAAACTGAACTACAAACGAGGCATGGAAGCATTATTCACCCGTGAAGGGTGAGAGCAAGCTGGCAGGAATGATGTCAGTCAAGAAAAAGTACTCAAAAATAAACTGATTTGTATCATAATCAGTGAAGAAAAAACAAGATAGACATCAGCAGAATAGCTGAAAGAAACATAAAGCCATAAAATGACTAAACCAGAATTTACATATAGTAGATAGAATCTGACATGATAGAGCTAGGATACATTGGAGAAGAAGCCTGAAGAAATAAGTTACATATTAGATTTAAGCGTACAACAATTATATATATTTTTATTTCACTTAAATCACTTAAAGTTAATAGAATAAAAACGGCCAGCAAAATTCGAGAGCAAAAAATTTTATCCAAAAAAATTGACTTAAAAAAACGTGAACCAGTAACTTTTGGTTTTCAATGAAAATCAGAAGTTAAAATCTGGTATAATTAAAACAAATCAAAAGCAAATGATTGGAGTTAGGTTATCTTTAGGTTGTATTTCCAAAGAGGTCTGATGTGAGTGAAAAAAAACACTATTTATCTAGAGCGGTTAAACTGAAGCATCAAATCATGAAATGAAAAAGTTCAGCTTTAGCCAAGGCTTCTTTATTTAAGTAAAAAATTTATTTTTCCCTTTGATGAAATGTCATGCATGCGTGTATGGAAATTATATATCAAAGCAATGCATTTATAAGAAGTAAATCTAATAATGAAATATGCATTTAATATATATATATAGTTTTTTTTATTGATCAGATTTTAGCTCTTTGTTCAACTCACCTAATTGAAGATAAACTGCATAATAAAATTTGCTGTTTCTTTCAGTTCCACCCCAAACATCCTGCAAAGAAAGATGCTACCAACCTTTCGATGAAGAAGTCCCCGGTTGCAGATGTGATACTAACTGTAACGCCACCAATAACTGTTGCAATGATTACTATGACATCTGCATGGCTCCAAGTAAGACCACTTTACTCTATTTTTATCCTCTAAAATTTCACATCAAAGTACAAAAAGGTTCAAAAAGGTGTATCACACTAAGACTGATTTTTTGTTTTTGTTTTGTTTTAACTGCAAAAAAACAAAAATATTACACATTTCATGCATTTTACTTTTCCATTCAGCCCAGCAGTGGGAATGTTCAAGGATACGCTGTGGTGAAAAGAGGCTGAGTGAGAGCAAATGTCACTGTGATGATGACTGTCTGTCTTCAGGAGATTGCTGTTCCAACTACAAACACATCTGCCATGGTAAGACACTGGAAATCATAACTGATAATGACATTCATGCCTGACAATATGTGCAAAGGTGAACCAATAATGTGAATATATACCAACCAACCACATTTATGCTTTATCTATACTTCGGATATTTAATAGTCAGATGCAAACTAACACAAAAATGTCTGAAACCGTTGTGGACAAAGTAGACACTGGTAAAATGAAAGGTAATGAACAGTCTGTGTGCTTATGAACATGTTTTGATTGTCAGAAATCACAATAGTAAAATCGTACAGGGAGAAGGACTTCTGAATGGCACAGAATAATACAGTGGTACAGTAAACAAACCATAATTATGAAATGAAACAAAAACAATTTTTAGATATGCCCCTTATACGGTATATTCTGGCATATTTATATACAAACAAAACTCAGAAGCAACAATCACGAGGGAAAAGATATCATGCAGCAGATATGGGGACGTGCGCCTGTGCCTGAAGGTGTCTATCTCTTACTCGTGATAATTGTTTTTTTTCCCTCCCCCAACATTCCTTGACAGGTTCTACAAATCACAGTTGTTGTGCTTATAAAGGAAAATTTATGGGTCTATTTTGCAGAGTTTATGAGGGGTTGGTGGAAGCAAATCTAGCTTTTAGGAGTTGAATCTCTCTGCAGGTCTTATAGTGACTAATTTATGGTGACTAATTTATAGTGACTCATTTATTGTAGGGGAGGTCGTGGAGGAGTAGAAAAAGCTTTTTCAGGATTATGATTGATATTTAATCCTTCAAATTCCACTTATCTTTATATATTATGTTGATCAGAAGTTCATTTTTGTTTTATGGCACCTCCCAAACTCCCAGGAGGAGCTTAAGCAGTTTATTAAATTACCGTATAAGGAAAGAACAGAACAAGTTTTGCACGTCCTCGCCATTGCAGGAGTACTCTCTTTAGATCATCCATGACACACCTACTTGTGGAATGTGCAATGAATTTTTTTCCCCACGTGCATCATGGTTAGTATATTGGCCTACAAAAACAAAGAGAAACACTTTTTTTTCTCTTTACTAATTTCACTCAATTAGAATATTGTCAAAGTTAGAAATACCCTTCCCATAAGTGAGGCTGAATAACTAGTTAAAATAATTATTAATTCTAGGCTAGACTATTGTGGAATTTTTTCTACAGAAAAAACCTTTAGTGTGTCCCAAATGCTGCAGGAAAATTCTGATAGAATTTTTTAAAAGAGCTTACACGTGAACTATTTTAGCTTTTCTTTATTGACACCCTGTTTGAATTCAGGATATCATTTAAATGTATCCTCCTTATTATTTATTTATCATACAATACAGATATGAATATTCTGTATGTCATAACAGAGCTTTTCACTCTCAGAACGCAGGTTTATAGTGGTTAGCCTCTAAACGTAGAATAGAAAAGAAATCTTTTTGTTTCCAAGCTCCTTTCCTTTGGAACCAGCTTCTAATTGTCTCTCAGTCTAACTTTAAGATGAGGCTTAAAATCATACTGTTTAGTACAGCTTAATGTTGGTGTTACTATGCTTAGCTGTAGTATCTCTGTAGTTACAAGGCTATAAGCTTAGACTGCCAGAGAACATAACGACTACTTTCCCCTGCATAAGCCATGGCTCAATATAACCTTCCCGATAACAATAAAAACTCTTTGAACTTTTAGGTTGATGTAATAGCCTGTTAAAAACACATTAACAAGTGCTTTTACAAAACTCAGATAAGGTTAAAAAAGGGCTAAGCTAAAGGACATCACAAAAGTTAAACCATTGACCTTTTTATGTGACACATTTGGAGTTGATGTTACAGGTGTTACATTGGAAAAAACATGGACCATTAGTGACACGTACGTCAAGTCACCTTTGTGGACTTAAATGCAGTTAGTCTGCTTGTCTCCAATAAAACATCTCTGTATCACCGAGTATTTCTGGAGAAAGCACCAGAAAAATACAAAAATCCACCAAAAAATCTTTACTTTTTTTCCTGCATATGCTATCATTAATATTATCAATAGTAGTAGTAGTAGTAATAGTAGTAGTAGTAGTAGTAGTAGTAGCAGTAGCAGTAGTGTGAGTATTATCATCATGAAAAAGTGCTGTAAATGTTTCTATTTCTTTTAGGGGAGACCGAGTGGCTGGAGGATCAATGTGAGGACTTCTCAATTCCCAAATGTCCATCAGGGTAAGACTTTGTAAAATAGATGAATGATTGCACTTATATTCACTCCAACATTATGTCTTTTTTAATAAATGTATGTTTCTGATACCAAAATACTTTGATAAATCTTGTCACATTTAATCAAGTTGGTTCTGACTTTCTCCTTTTCTACTGAGGTATTTAATGTAACACCCAAATGCTTTCTAAATCATAAAGATCTGAGATAGCTGTGAGAATAGCATTAGAATATAGTTTATATAGCTAGTGCTAATTGCTATTGCTGCAGAAGTTATCCCTGTATCTGAAAGCATATTAACTTAAATCCCCAACCAGTTAGCCAAGTGACCTTTTCTCTCTCTTATCAGTCTGATTATCTGTTGTTTGTTTGAAGTATCTCTTTTTTTAAGCTATTTTTCTATTTTCTTTTCTTCCTTTTTTTTCTTGTAGCTTTAAGCGACAGCCACTGCTGCTGGTATCTCTGGATGGACTAAGGGCTGAGTACCTGCAGTCATGGAGTGATCTTGTCCCTGTTCTGGACAAACTCAGTTAGTATTGAATAGATTATTCCATTTTCTGATATTATACATAAAGTAAATTAAATTTATGCACCAACAAAGGCCATTATGAATATTCTTCTCATATTCTTCTCTGGAAAACCAGAAAGAAATATTAACATATATTTGCCCCACACTGCTGCCAATTCTGAAACAGAAATAGCAACAGTATCTCTCTTTGATCATTTCTTTTATGCAGGAAGCTGTGGGACGTCAGCTCCATTCATGCAGTCCGCATTTCCAAGCAAGACTTTTCCTAATCACTACACGATTGTTACGGTAAAGGCACTTACTAAGCTGTAAGCAATTCTGCAAATCTCCCAGCAGGCTATAATCCATGAGAAGTAATAATAGAATTGTTCCTCTAAGAAGGTTAGAGTATTATTAGAATAAGTGCACCATGATATGAATATTGATTTTAAACATCTTATGCCAAAGGGAGTTTACTTTAAGAGCATATTTTACGTGATAGAATTTCCTGAAAGGGCAAGTTCAGTTTGAGCCAGCTGGAATATGTCTGGCTCTGAGATGGAAAACTCATGCTGGTTTTCAGAAAATGATTTGTATAGCTTCAGAGGCATCTTACAAACTGGTTTTCACTGGTTTTCTACATGAGGTGAGCGAGGTAGAAATGTGCAGGCAAGCAGTGACTGCTGACATAAAATGATTAGATATAGAAATGCACTCATCAGTGCCTACTGTCGCTGCAATAGTTACGGTATAGTCCTTCACACAACTTAACACCAAAACTCATGCACATTTTTATGTACCTACTATAGAAATAGAACTGCTATGCAAAAGGGAAGCTATACTACCTTATTGTAAATATAAATGTTAGTCTTACTTTTGGATTTATCTGTTTGATTGGTTAGTATACGACATCAGATCCAACTGCAAAATATCTGCAAAATTGTGGTTGTAATGGGGTAAAATATTGAAAATGAAGTAAAGGTATCTTTATTAAACAACTTTCACTTCAAATTGCTAGTTTCTCAGATTTCCTTAATCTTGACTGAGCTAAGCTTACATATTAAAGGTCATAGTCATATTCGTTAGATTCCAGCTAATATCGAGATCATTTATGAGAAATGACGTAATCCTTTGTTATCCATGCTAATGAAAACACCTTGACAGATTGGATTCTTATCCATGCACTTACAGCTTATAATCAATTTCAGACAGCATGAAGATATGCCATGTGTTAACATATGACTAACTGATAAAAGGAAACAAATTCTGTTGAATTACTCCTTTCAGAGTTATCCTTAAGGAATGTGCAAGAATGATTTTGTATGACTCATTCTATTACTCAACATATCTTATTCCATTCACAGGGTCTTTATCCAGAGTCCAATGGTTTGATTGACAACAACATGTATGACCCAGTATTTGATGCCTCCTTCAGCCTTTCAAATTCTGAGAAAAGTAATCCGTTATGGTACCTTGGACAACCTGTGAGTATGACTCTCCAATGAGTTTAGCTTTTACTGAAATATTTGTTGTATAATTTCCTTTTGCTTTCAATTAAACATTTCTTTTTTATATAGATATTTAGAATGTTTTTTTTAGTTGTAATCTTACATGATTTTAGTAATTCAGAGGTAAAGGCAAAGGCAGAGAATGAAAAGGAAGTGCAGGGGAAATATTGTCCTTTAGCTGAAGGGGGGATAGAGGACTGCTTGAAAATATTGAAATGAATATGTATTGTTTGAGTTTTTAGTAAGAAGTAATGTCCTTTATTTCTCAATAGATTTGGCACACAGCTATGCACCATGGTCTGAAATCTGGGACTTTTTTCTGGCCAGGATCAGATGTCAAAATCAATGGAAGTTTCCCTGACATCTATCAAAATTACAGTAGGTAAGTTTCAAAGTTGCAGCAGTTTTTTTTTAAACCAAAGCTGATAGCTGAAAATCCAAAAAAATGTTGAAAACCAGGAATACTAACAACACGAAGGGGACAAAATAATAATGACAAACCAGTAAAGAGTGACTGAACAGTAGGAGAATAAATGTTAGAGAAAAACAAAGACCAGCCATTAGCACATTGGGAGCAGGTGTTGACAGAGGCAAGAAGGGAGCTAGTGAAAAGGAGACTGACACAAGAGGGCAAACAGGAAATATCTACGAACTCAAATACAGTTTAAAAAAAAACCTAGAATACAAGAATCCAAATAAGACCAATGAAAACTCAAAATAAAACTTGGACAAAACCAAAACCATGACAGAGAGAGAGAGAGAGAGAGAGAGAGAGAGTGAGAGAGAGAGAGAGAGAGAGAGAGAAACAGAGAGAGAGAGTAAACAATTCCCATTACAAAAATAGCATACTCTTCCCAATGTAGAAGTTTCCTTTCACATTCTTTATCAATAAAAAATGCAACATTACGTAGATGCAACATAGAAAAAGAATGCCAGTAGATGATCTTCGACAAAAGTTACTTTATTCCCTGATGTTTATCAATTAAATTTGTATTGATATTGAACTGTAAGCTTTTACTGGCATTTCACTAAGACAGAAGGAATTTTATATTGCACCTCCAAATGATACAAGTGTAAAATCCTCCTTTTTCATTGGTGGTGCAGTTATGGCGTAATGGATAAAGCACTAAGTGAGTCTGGAGTGACTGGATTTGATAATGTTACCAGACGGGTAGAAGTTCAAATAGATGATGACTGGGATGTGTAATGTCTTCTATGATGTCTCCTTTTAGCTCTTAAGAAAATGCACTTGTATTTTATTGCTGACAGAGGGCCCTCAATATTTTTTTCTTCTGTCTTATTGATTATTTCTTTTTACTGTTTTTAACTGCGGCAGAACATCCAGCAAACCACACACAAAAGCTATATACAGTAACAAAGACAAGCAGCTTTTGACTCGGATTGTATTTTCAGACATTCTTAATAACATTCTCTTTTGAACAGTTCTTGGGAAATTTAGTAAGAATGACAAACAGTCAGAGATAAGAAAACCAAGACTTTGATATAATGTACTCTCTGTGCATTGATAACGAGAGGCTGGTTTTTCTCGAAGTTCTTCTTACTTTTTGGGGCTGAGAATGGGACAAGCAGAGTATCAGTTGACTCATCTGTGAACTTAATTACAGAGTTCAGGAAAATGATTGTGTACAGTCTGAGGTGTGTAGTGAGTAGAGGAGAGGTTGTGGCATTTAGCCCTTTAGCACTGAGTGAGATTATAGTAGAGTAGTGGGGGCAGACAGACAGGATGGTAAATCAGAAAGTCTTTAATCTAACTGCAGGTTTGCAGGGTAGACTGAGGTTATGAAGATTATTGTTTAGGATTTCCGAGGTTATGGTGTTAAAAGCAGGTGACTAACAGTGAGCATTAATTTGTGACTGACTAAAATAAATATAGTAGAGGAGCTTTTGGTCTCTTAGCAAGTCAATACAAGCTCCTTAGCCTGTAGCGCTCCTTTCATTGTTCAATTGCTTAGTTTTGCCTATTAAGGGCAATTTAACTAAACTGACTCCGCCAGATGGATTTGCTGGATTTGCTCCACATATCCATCTGGAAACCTTCCGTTGAAGTAATTTTGGGAAGGGGCGAAAATACTGGTTAGCTGATTGGCCTATGTTGGTGATAGACGGGCCAAATAAACCAATTAGATCAACGAAGCATATGATGTACTAACAGATCGACGATGAAGAGGAGCCAATTGATAGATCAAAAATATCTTTTCCTCTGAGAAAAGCCTCCAGAGCAGTGTTTTGCTCTTTTTTCAGTGAATAAATACTCTGCAATTCCCATAAAACTTGCTCGATAGCCACGCTAATGCTAGTTTCATCGGCTGAAGCCGCCATGTTCTTTAGACTGAACTGTCGCGCTTCTCGTTGCGTCACACCTCAACCCGCCTCAAAGCCAACGCTGATTGGAAGTTCGTTTGGTGAACTGCTCCAAATTTTCTTTGACGTAGAGTAGCCAGACTGATCTGCCAGTGAAACCTTGAAAGCTCGCGAGATCAGGATGGTCTCACAAGGCTACAATTTAAGTCGTAATCCCTCTCTAAGATCACCACTAACAGTGGTGAAAATATCTTTATCCTCTGACCTAAATAATATATATTTATTGCTACACCGTTATGCCCATTGAAAAGTATCCGATAGCTTGATCTCTGCTTGATTCCTGTTTTTTGCTACAAAAAAATGGATAAAAACACTCCCAACAACCACCAGGTGTTATGAGGTTATGTCTTTGGATACAAATTTAAAGGATATGTATAATAATAATAATGTGATCTTTCATAAACTGAAAAGTTTAAGGCTTATTTACTAAAATCTACCTGTAAAGGCTCAAGTGAGTCATATCAAACACAGGCCTTTCTGTCTTCTTGTTAGACAAACCCAGACTGAATTCTATCTTTGTGGGGAAAAGTTTAAAACCCTGTTTAAACAGACTTCAAACTTATCAGCTTAAGTCTTAAATAAAGTAGCATACCTATGATGTTCTTTCTTGGCATTTATAACCTTGACCAAATCCAAATACAGTAAGGTATGTTTATCATAAGTTTTGTGACATCAATGCATAATAAGATAATATGAATAGTGTTATGCTTCATGTGTTAAAGGGCTCATTCTTTGTGAAATCTAGACTGTATAGCTTACATTCCCACAGTATTTTAAACTGATCCAAAAAGTAAATAATGAAGTATTTAACACTAAGAAAAGTTAGTGTAACTGAATTCAACTAATTGAATTTATCTCTAAAGACGAACCATCTTACCAATCCAAGAAAACCTTTCAGGTATAAGTCTTTTTAATATGTTACAAGGCAAAATAGACAAAATAGACCTTATTCACTATAGCAAGACGCTCTTGCACTCAGCAAAAGTATTTGTACTTCTTTTGCACAGATTGGTTGTTAGATTTGTGTATATTTACACTCCACGGTTCATGCATAATTATTGCCCAACAGTTGTAAACTGTTGAAAGTTTTATGAAAAGCAAGCCGAGCATAAAAAAAGCAATCCCAGCACTGAATCATCTCAGATTACACAAGTAGCCCTGAAGCTTTAAATTTTTTTTCTAATATGAACAAATTGGAATCTGTTGAAAAAAACAGCCTTATGCTGTTTCCTGGATCACTACAGTATATCCAAGTATTCAATAGTTCGACAGGAATAAATGCAGCACTAATATAAAACAAGATTGGCACAGACACAAGTACACTATCTAAGAACGACAACAGTGGCCTTCACCAGTGTTGCTTCCGTGGTAAGAGAGCTCTGACTGAGGACAATAACTGCTACAAGCATAATTGATGTGAGGGACTGCCGTCGAGTCAATGAGTTGATGCAATCAGTTGGTTTTCCTTAGATAGAAAAATCGGAGAATCAATTTGACTGTATGAACTGTCAAACTGATTAATAAAAGATTAGCTCTCTTAAAGGTATAGTGGAGGATTTTCATTCATTTTTGAAAAGACTCGCCTTCTCCACTTTAAAAAAAATGCACATGCACAACCCTGTAGCCGCTCCTGAAACGCCTATTAAACTCGTGCAAGAGCATGCACCAGTCCATTTATCCTCATGCACGCTCTGTTTAAAAGTTGCTTTTTGCATCACTCATGCAAGCTAGCTTTGGCAAGGTAGGCAATGTATAAAATGGAGAACAGCATGTAGGATGGCCTTACGCAAACATATCACCAGAATGATTGATAAATAGGGAGACTACTTATTTTGATGATCAACCCGAAAAAAGAACGTCCTCCATTATACCTTTTAACTATGCAGATGACTCACAGCTTTAGTTCACAATATCAGCAGGTGAGAATGAACCCATCAGAGCGTTGGCTAGATGCTTAGAACTGATCAATATGTGGATGCACCATCCTTTTCTACAACTGAATACAAACAAAACTGGGATAATAATCTTTGGACCAAACGAGGAGAGAGTTAGCTCACAGCTTCAGCTACTACAGCTAAAAAAAAAACACAGATTATAACTGAAATATTGGTGTCATGATGGTCTCAGACCTGAACCTTAAGAGGAACATAAAGGCAGTTGCTAAGTCAATCTTTTTATCATCTGAGTAACATCAGGCCTTCTAGTTCAAGCCTACTCTGTCCACCCAGAACTAGAAGCAAACTTGCACTGCAAAAAATCTAAATCTAGATAAGTCATTTTTTCTTAAAATAAGTGCATGTGTTCTTGAATTGAGGAGGTAAAAGAGACATTTTGCTAATGGAACAAGACAATTAACACTTCAAATATGAAAGCACAATTGCATCGTCTTATTTCAAGTGCATATTATCATTTCTAATATCTAAAATTGGTTATGGTGTAAGTCATGTTCACACTTTGACCTAGTGGACAAAGCATGAAGGAACATGGATGATTTACTTCCTTGAATTTCTGGTTTGCCTTATTTGGTTTGCTCTGTATAAACTGTGTAGTATGTTTTAGTAAATAATTACCTTGATTCCTCTTACTGACTTAAAAAAGCAGCTGCATTTAGAACATCATTCATTACCTCCGCCAAAGGGATAATGTTTTTTTTTTTAGGAGAGTTTGTGTTTATGTTTATCTGTCTGTGTACAGGATAAATGGAACCTTATGTGAAGGAACAATTAATAAAAAAGGTGTAATGATTCAGATCATGTGCAACTTTTGCAAAAAAAAAACTAATGGAGGTAGTGAAGTTTGGGGATGCAATTCACTTCTTCAATCTATCTTTGCTGACCTATAATTTATCCAGAAGTTAATCAATCATACTTTTTCTCTCATTCCAAACTTAGTGTTCGGCTGTATATTTAGCATGTCTTCCCTGGAAATGCCTTTTCTAATTATTCTTTTTTGTATTTGACTACTTCTTATCACAAAGCAAAGATGCAGGCAATCCTTCCACATTGCAAATAAAATCAAATGATTTGGTTCAGTTTTCTTTGATTCCTCTGTTCTTATCAGCTATCTTCCTTTTTTGCCTGTTTCGATCCATGACCCAAGACACACCCGGCACTTTGTCTAAAACAGCCACCTGCCTGGCACTGCGCCGTGCAGAAACGTGTGTTGCAGACTATGACGAAAATCTACAATTTTGGTTGAATGTTTTTATTATACAAATTTTTACAGCATTGGAAAATAATGAATGTTATGTTAAACCTCCTGCACACCATATTAATAAAAACAAACAAAAAACCCATCTATTTTCCATTTTCATACATTTTTGAAAAAGCTCAAGGAACCAGAACCGCGGGTTGCCGACCCCTGGTCTAGGAAATAGAAAGAGTAAAATGCTGAATTTCTGGGCTAAGTCTGTCTCTAGTTAATTAAATTTAATTTGTTGGAATAACAAAGGTAATGAACAAAGAATTTAGTAAAAAATGCATATAAATGAAAAGTAGCAGGAGAAATCGTCTTGATTAAACTCGCAAGGCAATAGGTGTATTCAGAATAAACGCTTTCTGCTTTATGTGGTGGCCTGACTTGATAAAAATAAACCAACAAAATATGAAAATGACAAATTGCTGATATCATTTATCATTTTAATAAATTGTTTGAAAAAAATCAGTACTTAGTATTGCAATCTCTTTTATCAGTAAAGTGCCATTTGAAGAAAGAGTATTTACTGTTCTGAAGTGGCTGCAGCTGCCAGAGGATAAAAGGTTGGTATCAATACAATAATACTCAAATTATCACTCACACATGTCAAAGTTATCATCAGATCTTTGGTAATGATTTTCTATTTCTACTATAAAACAATCTGACAGGCCTGATTTCTTCACACTGTATATGGAGGAACCTGATAAATCTGGGCACAGCTTTGGTCCCGTCAGCGGAGGGGTAAGGCCAACTGAGTTTATTATCATACTCAGTGGATGATTCACCTGCTATTTAAAAGCTTATCATAAATTCTCTAATTTAGTTGGAGTATATCTCAGAGTCCACGTACAATGAACTCTGATTTCTGTAATAAACAATTAAGTTCTCACACTACTGTGTAATAATTTCTCGAATGCAACCACCCCTTATTGGTCATGAAAGCGAAATAGATTTATTGCACAATAAAAACAGTTTCAAGTCCATTTATGCTCTACACGCTATTATTGGTGCCTGCCTTATCTTATCTTACCACTCTTACCTGTCATGTCCCGCACTTTATGTCAGTTTTTATATGTCAGTCTTGTATATTTCTTGTATATTTGTATATTGCAGAGAGTAAACGTAATTTCATTTCCCTTGTATGTCTTGTACATATGTAGAAAATGACAATAAAAGCTGACTTGACTTGACTTGACTTAGCAATGCAAGGACAGACGCACCTATTATTGCTACCAAAAAATTTACTCTTTATTATTTTATTTAGTTTTAAACTTTCATTTTCAAGAATTTTATAATTTGCATGTAGAGAATGATTGACATATTCTGAAAGCAAAGAATATGTGACAGCTTTCATTGAACATGAATAATATTTTCTGCAAATGATCGCCAAGCTTGCATATATATTTCAAGAGGGATGTTGACTCAGTCCTCTTCAGAGAAGCTTCTAATTGCTTTTGGCTACGTTCACACTGCAGGCCTTGATGATCAATTCCGATTTTTTTGTGAAATCTGATCTTTTTGCGTTGCTGTTCACATTTACAAATATATGCGAATTGTATGTGATCTCCTGTGTAAACTGCATTCATACAATTTAAGTGTCCAGCATGCACAGTAGAGGATGTAATGACGTCACAAGCCATGGTGCTTTGTGTTTACAGAAGTAAACATGGATGTGGTGCTGGAGCACACTACAGACAATAAGGTTTTTCTTGCGCTTTTCTTGCCGCCTCTGTGTAGCAAGAAGCAGAATAGTGATCTATGTCGTTTACTAATGGCGTTCAGGTCGGATGAATGCGACCTGGCCGTTCAGACACAGGTCGCATTTGAAAAGATCAGATTAGTATCGGATTCAGGACCACATAGCCAAGTGGCCTGGGTCGGATTGGAAAAAAGCGGATCTGTGTTGTTCAGACTGCCATGAAAAGAAAACATACAGGTAACCTATGGGCAAAAAAATCGGATTTGGATCATTTCAGGTTGCAGTGTGAACATAGCCTTTGAGATTGGCTAAGCAGATTTTCTTTTTGGTCACCTGTTGCTCTGGTGAAATCTTTCAGGTTAGTTTTTTACAGTGTACCCTTACAAGTGCTCTCGCTATTGAGCTAGGATTCTTATCCAAAATATTATTCTACTTTTTCCCTTTGTGTCCTTACTACACTGAGGGTGTCGACAGATGAAAGACAAAACCATAACTGATGTTTTCACCCCCACTTGTCTGTGGGGACTGGGGCTTGGCATCACTCCAACACAGGACTGTAAATGATAAATAACTTTTTTCTTGTGTAGTCTTTTATTAACTTTGAGAATTACAATGCACGTCACACTACATTTTGTCATTTACCCATTAACACTGACATTCTCCTGGGTACGGCGGTGAGATACATTGCAGTCACAGCTCACCTGTGGCAGACTGGCAGAATTAATGCTACCAAACAACTGTGACACCAAGCCCTCTGACAACCAACAATAGTCAAGGAGGGTGGTGTCTCACCCAAGGACACAATGACTGAGGTGGGCAGAGCAGGGGCTTGAACGATTGCGAGCCACCCACCCCCTGTACAATAATTCCAAAACTGTTTTAGGTCTGATTTGTGCTGTTGTTCATTGAACCATCCCTAATGACCCTCTTGATTCAAGAAGTGAACCTTTATGGTGTCAAGATTTGTTGGAGGTTTTTGAGGACCCAAATGCAGAGAGAGGTGTGAGAGACAAGTTTTGCTGATTTAATTGAAAGTTCCAGAGGCAACAGTAGCAAATATCCAAAAATCAAAAACCAGAAGATGCCAGGGAGAAACACACACTAAGAGCTGAGTAACAACAAAGCACCAATTAAAAAGAAACCAGCAATGAGCAACTGCAGAGGTGGTGTATATATAGGGAACAGAACAAAAAATGGGCTAATGAGCTGATATGGAGCAGGTATGAACAGAACTAACTAGAAGGGAACTAACGGGAAAGGAAATAGGCACAAGTTGGAGACAGAGAGTTACTAAAAAAAAATAAAGAACTCCATAAATAAAACACAAAATTGAAAAGAAACTAATGAATAAGAAAACACATAATAGCATAAATCAAAGTGGAACTGAAAACTAAAAAGAAACTCAAACAGCTGTCTACATAACACATGGTGCTTTTCTCTTGCATGGAAAAACCAGCAATTAAGACCAACTCAGACACTTCAAATACACTTTGACCTCCATTAAACCCAAGTAACTTTCTATTATTCAAAAGAGTCCAGGATTATGCAGCTTACATGAAAGGCAGACCGTAAATCCTGCATAACATCTCAGAATCTAGCAGGAAATGAAACTGAACTTCAGTTTCATTTCCTGAAAAAAAAAAACTAAGATTTTTTATGTGAAACTCAAGTTGGCAGTCACTTCAAAAAGTAAAAAAGACACATAAACTATATGCTTGACAACATTTGAGTACCACTTATGTTTTCTATTTATATTTTGTGTGGCTGGTGTTCATGGAAAGCCATTTGTTGACACAGGAGCTCATGTGCTGTTTACTCCTAATGGACCATCACTGTTTACAAGCTGCCTTCTCTAAACCAACATTTGGCTATTACAGAATGACAGCATAAAATTAAAAGCACTGAAAAAAGTCACTCTCACGTAGTTGGCAAATTTTCAAGATGAGATTAGAAGTAAGTGAATCAGAAGAAAGGCAGATTGCAACTTAAAGGAAACCCTATTTCAGTCCATCGCAACAGAAACTGTCTCACAGAGGTACATCAGTCATATACAAACCATAGAATATTGAAAATCATATGTCAAGGCCTAAAAATGCTTGGCTTAGTTGAGCAGAACAAAAAGGTGTGAAGAACTTGATTATGCTGAATGCACCTCCAAAAAACAAGGAGTTCCAGAGATTTTAGAAAAATCTGTTATTTATTAAAACATTTACATAAGTGATAGTGAGCTCCAATGTTACCATAAGCATAAAGTCTAGACATTACTATAATTACAGTTTTGTCTTAACAGCGTTAATGGAATTTCTTTCTGATAAATTCCTGGATTAATTGTAAATACTTAAAAGCTGAAACCACAATCCTCCCCCTCAATTCAGTATTTCTCTTTTAACAAAGGTGACTTACTTTTGTCCTCCTTGAAACTATTTCTCTTCACTGTTCAAAATCTGAACATTTCAGTCTTCAAAGGTGTGTCCTTTGTTCTTGAGGTGCAACTGTGCAGCCAAATCTTACCTAAAGTTACTTGCTGTCCTATGCTGTGTCATGCATCTGTGTAGTTTGGTTTCTCCAATATAGGAGGATGTACAGTCCTTGCTGAGCAGGACAAGATACATAACGCCGCTCAGCTTAGTTTGGCTGTTCTGTTCTTAGGATGAAACCGTTTTTATCTGAGTGTGTTGCTGGGTTGCCTTCAGTGGGCAACTCTCAAGTTAATGTACTGTTAATGTACCCTATGCATAGATATATATATATATATATATA